CAACAAAGTTATCCACAACGTTTTTTTTATATGGACGCGACAATCCGAAATCAATGAACCTCATGATATACCGATATGCCGATCTCGAGATCGTCCCAGCTTTTTTTGGGACCAAGAGTGTGAGTTAGGTTAAATGCAGGAACATGATCAGTAATTATGAATTATTACAAGAATATGTATTTAATAAAATAGTAAAAAATAAATTATTTTACAATTTGGCCGTGCATAAATTGCATTACAATGTTTGTATTTTTTAAAAATTATTATGTCAATGATTATTGATTATTGATGTCACAAACTATAACAATGGTTACTATATATAATTGACAACGTTTACCATTTTCCATCGAAAAAATACAAATGTTGTTATCTGTCTAAGTGGGTTTTCTTAAAAAGGCGCGATACCCATATGTGTTGTCTTCGTCTTTCAAACGTACCTACAACATAGCACATTTGAGTTCAGCAGGGATTGATTGTACTCTTAGTTTTAATGTTAGAGTGAATTGACCTATAAACAAACGTAAATATATAATAACATTGCCTAAATAGTGATAGCGCTAGTTTGTCGATATTTTAATTTGCAAGCGAGATATGATTATGTGAAAAATCACAACATATTAATGCTTGTATCTCGCTTGAAAATGAAAACGCTAATATTAAAAATTTCAAACTAACATAGCACATACCTATATAGTTGTCCCTGCTGACCGCAAATTTATCATGCCGTACGTTTGTATAAGATGGAAACGGTACACGTCCTATCACGTCCTCTTTAATATTTAACTATAATAAATAATAACGGAAAAATATTTTGCAATAACACCGCCTTTTGAAAATTTCTGACTACGCGTCTTAAATATACCTACCAACAAAAAAAAAATCTATAAATTCTATTTATATATATATATTTTTTTTCATAAAATCAATCGGCCAAAATGGACTTCACTGAGCCCCTGAATACTGCCACCGAGCTCAGACTCGTCGAGTGGCCGCGACTAATCTACCGGGGCCGTCCCGTAAATTCACCCCCGTATCCTTATTGTTTCGAGTCGAGAGTCACGAACGGATACAACGGCGCGCGAGTAGAATTAGAGAACTTTTTTTTCGACGATTCGGTGTTGACTCCAAGTGGATTTTATTTCATTTAATGTATTTTTTTTTTTTTTTTGATCTACAAAAAGAAACACTTCCAGTTTTAAGTAGGTATAATAGTAGGTACATTTTTCCCCAATCGCGAGATTATAAACATCTCGAAAAACAATGCGGCCACGGTCGCGGGATTTGCATTGTTTCTGATATCGGAATCTGTTGCTCGTTCTGTAACGAATCCGTTTCGAGTATAATATAACAATAGATTATATGGGCACCTATAATATTATATCATATACGATTTTATTTCCCGTTGTTGTTTTCAGAGACTTGCTCGTAAACGGCTGAAGTGTAACCGTATCGGTGCACACGATTACACGAATCGCCGCCCAAATCCAAGTAGTCTACTTTTTCTCACTTGAATTATCTCCTGGCAGTGGTTATACTATGTGCGAGACAAAAAACAATTATTTGATCCGCCCAACCCAGTATACTTATTGATGAAACATTACCCTCAAACAAAATACTGTTTTAACTACTTTCACTCCAAACTCCAAACTATTATAACTCCTTTTACAAAACCATTTAAATTTAGGTCAACGTATGAACACTCGATTTTAAGTTTCATTTCCCATATGGCAGTATCAGAAAATATAAACATAAATTCCAAATAAAATGATTTGAAATATCTAAATGGTTATAATTTATTTAAAATTAAGAGAAGGTACATTTTGTAAATTCTATGCACTTACCTTATACTGTTTTTAATTCAATTTATAATCTGGAATCAAGTCAGAGATCTGCAGATGAGAAGTTAGGCAAACTTGTTTCAAAATCCTTGACAAAGTTGTAAGATATATTGGAAGAATTAAGTTATGATTATAATTTATCGAAATATTGACAAAAAAAAAAAGAAAAATAATTTATTTAATAAATAAGGAACCGATGTAATTTATATATTTAATTCTATAAGGGAAAATGTTGATTTCAAATTTAACGATGTTTATAAAGAAACCAACGATATTGCAGCTGAATAGTAAAATATTGAACCAAAAATGCCTCATATTTGTAGCAGTCAACGAAATTTAAGCAATGTACCATCTAACAATAATAACAAATTTTACAACAAATCGATTTTAGATTTTGAATAGAGCGAAGAAGCATATGATTTTACAAAGATTTTTTATCTGCGTGCAACTTTCCTACCAGAAATTTTACTCTGCTTAAGTGTAGCGCCTTTTCTGAAAGGAAATCGGTGAGAAGGGTAAAAAATATACTTCGAAAATATTGCGATTTGTTTTCTATGAACAACTTTTCTACCAGCAATTTCAGTCCATTTTATAATGATAGCAATTTTTCTAAAAGTAAATTTGACTGGGGAGGTACTTTAAAGAGGTAATTTATTGATTTTCGCACAAGTTGTTGAATTCTATGAAAACGATTTACCAGAGCTAAATAACATTATACCGGATAATACATTTGAATAGGTACACTCATTATCCCGGAAAGTATTAACTTTTTTCAGAATTTGTATTCTAGAACATTTAAGAAACAAGCTGCTCTAAAATTGTATATTTATATTATTTGGTTATTTATATTTTTTGGTTGTAAAACCACTAGAAACCTACTTTTGATTTTCAAATGGCAACCTATATTAAAAATTCCAATAATTGATGGAGTATTTGTTAAATTAAATTTGAGTGTTGAAATTTTTAATTTCTGTAAAGCCGTTGACGAGATATTCCACTTTTAAATTTGGATTGGAGGAGAGTAATGGATACATCACGGATATTATAGTAGTAAAAAACTATTGTAATAAAAAATACTGAAAATTGCACTAAAAATATTAAAAATTGTACTAAAAACGAACAATTTTTTTAAAAAATAAAAATAGTTGGCTTAATTTTTGGCATATTTACAAAACAATAACAGAACACGATCACTCAAAATTCACAGAGTAACTGAAGAACATATTATAACAGTCAAACATTCACATTTCAAAAATTATTTTTGTATAGTATTAAATACCTACCAACTTGGAATTATCAAAATAAAAATATGATACCATTATTAGATTTTATGGCTGGCAATATTATAGTATAATCTTATCTATATGATTTTAGATTGTCGACTATTGTTAAAATAGTTGTGTAAATTAAATGAGTAAATTCAACAAAATTGCAAAACATTGCATTTAAAACTTCTAGATTTGAATTCGTACTTACATGAAACGTATTTAAATCTTACTTCACAATAAATTTCAAAAGTAGAAAAAATGTGGCGGTGTGTTAATAATACACCACTATTCTTCTCCAGTTTAAACTTAAAAGTGGAATATCTCGTTAACGGCTTTACAGAAATTTAAAATTTCAACACTCAAATTTATTTTGACTAATACTCCATCTATTAATTGAATTTTTAATATAGGTAGGTTACCATTTGAAAATTAAAAGTAGGTACCTAGTGGTTTTACCCCCAAAAATAATGGTGACAAAAAATAACATAAACTTAAAATTGTAAAGCAGCTTGTTTCTTAAATGTTCAAAAAAATTCCAGAAAAAGTTATTACTTTCCGAGATAATGAGTGTTCTCACTTATATGGCTCACCTATAGAAGCAAAGTATGAGATTCGACAAACTAAATGGAAGAATATTGAAGAACATTGTGATTACAACTACTTTGTAGCTTTGTTGTTAATAATAAATTATATATTAAACATTTAAAATTTATAATTTAATTAATTAAATGTATTATATATTTGTAATAATATATTAGGTTAATATGCAGTTTTTCTATTCTACATTTTTGTGTTGGAAAATTGTTTGGGTATGTGGGGAAGGTATTCCCCATGAATTTAAATGCTACAAAATATTTAAGTCCCCCCCTAATAATTTCCACGATTTCCATCTATGCTTTAGAGTCGAGACTAGTGGGACTTCCACTTTTAACAATTCATCGAGACATTAACTTGCATGTAGTATTTTGTTATTAGACAAATTTGCCAACAGTGGCAAAGAAAGAAATTTAAATTTAATTTAGTTTGTTATTATCATTATTATTACAATAACATATCAGTATTGTAATATTTAATTATTAATTTTGTGAAAATAGTCAAGACTATAACAAAAATTAAAATTGTTCAGTAATTCCTAGTTTTTGTTTTTAATAAGTTGAATTAGGAAATTTTTGCTTGGAGTAAACCTCAACCCCCCCCCCCCCAGAAAAAAAATCGAAATACGCAACTGGCAGTAACTTAATATGTATTATAGTGATGTATAATCATGATAAGTATACTATTTTATTATAATATTAGGTTACATATAATTTTAACCAAATAGTACTTTTTACTTGAAAACGTTAGAAATCGTAATTCTCCATATTTTTTCACGCAGCAGTTACCTACATTAGAAGATGTGGCATTTTTTCAAGTATTTTCAACAGTTCATTCACTAGATCAGAGTTTCCTAAACTGTGGCCACAAACCCCTAGGAGTCCACATGTATACCAGAAGGGATTTACGAACATAAATTGAAAATACTATATAGTACATGTAAAAATGTAAATACTGATGTATAAATGGTTATAAGGGGAGTATTACATGTGTGTGTATTAACAACTTTTCTAACAGAAAACTTGCTCCAAAGTGTAGACTATAATACCTTTTCTGAAAGGTAATTTTTTCTTGATGGTGTATTGTCATAGTGATATATTGATCAGTACTATCATAAGCTACCAGACTGATTTAGTAAAATAAGTCTAAGTCAATAATAGTCTATCAAAAATTGAAATGTCTTATTAGCTTTTCTCTGCAAATCTGAACAATATAAGTTATAATAAATGAAAAGAAAAAATATGATATAAATTATATTGTAGAAATAAAAAATTCATAAAACGCCGAATAGACCGGCATTATTTAATTTAAACGATAAATAAAATATAAATAAAAAAAATGATTATTATTTTGTAATATTAAACCTAAAAAAACAAATAATGTTACATTTAAATAATAAAATAAATAAAGTAGTAGGCAGTAGGTAGACAAGAATATTGGGGTAAACGCTTGTAACAACGTAAATATAAAAATATTAGAGAGATTAACAAAATTTAATGTAATGAGTATTAATAAAAAAATATACGTCCAATACTTAACAATATAAATCACAATATATTATGTTTTTTTATACAGTTGCTGCATTTGAACAACGGACGGATGGCAACAAAACAAAAAAATCATGAAACGTCTCAAGATTTTGATCGGTTCCCAGAGAGCTTTTATAAAATCGGATAGTGGTCCATGTTGCAACATCTGATGTCGGTAAGGGTAAGTTAGATTATCAAGATCCGGTTGTGTCTTCACTATAAACAAAACTGAATGTTCAATATTTAAAAAAAATTTAAATCAAATTTTCAATGAACATAAAGTTGCCAATTTTTTGGTATAGGTAATCAAAAATTGTACACTAAGTTATGTCTATAGTATTTTGAGTTTCTAAAATGAGATTGCCTACGACCATACTGATGTGTAAATATACAAAATATAAAAACTATAAAAAAAAAAATAAAATAAGGTTATAAAAACTTAAAACAGCATGATATAAAATATTTGATATGAATAGATTCTTTAATATAAAACAGCAACATATATATATTATCATTGATACAAATGAGTAAGGGAGGACTTAGTCTTCCACCAAATTTCTTTCAAGCCCCCCCTCCCCCCCCCAGTTCAAAAGTTATTATTCAGTACTAAAAATATATCATTCCTACATATTGAGAAAAATTTATCTAATAATATAAATGAAAATTCAAAATTATATTTTAAATAAATTTGTCTAAAAAAGTAGTTTTTTTACGTAGTGTATTTTATTAAAATAAAAATATTGTTTACTAATATTTTATATTAAATTTGTTAGTTGGTAACTAGTCGCGTAGCTTTACTTGAGATAATGGGGACATACCCTCCACTTTTATTTTGTTCATATTATGGGGTGGAATAGGTTGAATCCCCACAATTTGGGCTATTTGTGTCTATGTATATTATAATATAACAATTAATATTACTCAGTTTTTATGCTCTTAAAAATATAACAAGGTTAAAAACTGAAAATTGTTTTAAAAAGGTACAACTACAAAAGAAATAAAAAAATTATTTTAAATTTAAAATATAGGAACTCAGTCAAATAATAATTCAATATAAATTTACTTACCATCTATTTTTATTGCTCAACTCAACAGCCTTATTCAATATAACACGCATTTCAACATTTGGATAATTCTATAAAACAAAATATTTAAACCATAAAAAATCAATACATTTAAGTCCATTTGATTAAGTACCTGTAAAAGTTTCACAATTGTTGAAAAGTCTCCAGTGAGTATTTGATCTCTGATTAAACTAAGAAAAAAAAAATAAATATATAATAATTATGAATTTTATTTTGATGAAATAATTTTGGCTTTCTAACAAAAATATAATTTACAATGCATTAACAATACAGTCTAAATATGTATTCAGCAAAATTGATTTAACTATAATCAATCAAACATTTTTAAATATATCATAAATAGTTATGTTTATTTAGTATGTTTGATGATCAATTACTAGCCAATATTTAAGTTATTTTAAATGTAATTATAAGTTGAAAATTAAATTTCATTATTTTGAAGAAAACACAAATATAAATTGTTATAAACTAAATATATTTATAGATTTTAAATATGCATTTGTATTTATTAATCATCCCAAATAATGTTTAATATTAGGTACACTGATCGTAATATTACAAAAACAATTTGTTTTATATTGGTACAGATATAACCAAACGTACACTATCATTGCACAACATATGTCAACAAGAAATGAAAATCGCCGTGTATCAGAAAACAAAGAGTCCCATATCCGTAAAACTTCGGGCAGTGAAAATTCTTGTGACAACAACAGTGTCAACCATCTAAACACCATTAAATACACAAAAAGCAAAATATAATATTGAATATTGATAAAACACAATATGATTTATTGAAAAAAGTACTTGCCTAAAACTATAATACTGCGGAAAGATTTCGTTTTTCACTAAATAACTTTCAACAATCGGGTCATTTTCCTTCAACCGGTCAGTTACCCTGCGCATCATGTTTACAATTCCAGTATCTGTCTCGTCTAACGTTTTTATGAAAAAATCACGAATTTCTGACATAAGATTTGTGAAGACAAAAAAACAATCAGCTTCAGCGTGCTCTAAAAATTTGAATTACGGTTAAATTTGACAGTCCCATTCTACTATTATTATGTGAATTTATTGTAGGTATACATATATACACCATACATTAATTATTATTTTGAACGTACTTTTGAATATTTAACTATGGATGAAATATGCAACAAAAATATATGTTTAAATATAAATATAAAATTAATTGTAATAATTTGTATAGTTACCTCTCATTTTGACAATTGGATCAGTCGCGAAACAATAATAAATTGGGCCGATAATTTCATTCATGCCTTGCACATAGCCCTGTCCAGGGTTTAATTTACAATATACAAATAATATCCTTTCCACCACCTCCCAGTGAGCTTCTGAACCTTCATCCAATGGTTTAAACTCTGACGTGTTAATTTGCTCAGGCTTTTGTGATATTTTAACAATTCCAAGACCTTTGCGCACAACATTTGCACTGTTCAGAAAATGCATGCCCACTCGTCTGTTCAACCGTTTTGTGCCACAACTGTACACAACATTAGCCAATGGATAATTGGTTGCTTGTTGGAAGAATGATAGTTCAGGATGTAATCGCCTAAAAACAAGAAAATATTACGAATAAGTGTATAAAACACTCATTACATTGATATTACCTGACATCTTTATCAATTTGAGTAAGAGCTTGATTATCTTTGAAAAATGTGTTCCACTTGCTACTGGGATCTTCACTCAATGGATGATCGCACTGCTCGTCATTAACTGAACCCGGAGTAACTAATATTTCATCTAGATAACAATAATAAATAATTAATCGTGGTTAACTGGTTAAACAATTAAGTAGATTTTGATTAGAACAAAATATAATTATGTAAGTATATAAAATTTGTTACCCATTTAACGACTTATCTGGGTTTTTAAGTGACTAATATTTTATTAATAATTATAATTAATCTTTAATATACTAACATAACACAATCAGACGGTTAAAAAATATTTGTTGGGATGTTAAATTACCTAACCACTGCTGGTACAATTTCCTGTGGCGGTCAAGCTGTTCATCCCATTTATTTCTATCACATGGTAAGTAATTGAGCAGCAATCTCCAACATAGTGACCTGTAACCTTTTTCATCGGGAATACCTATAGTTGAATAATAAATAAAGTTATACATTTGAAGCAAATATTATCTAGTTTACCATGCCACTACCAAATTTGTTAAATAATTCAACAAACTATGCATAATGGTGCAATCTGAATTTGTAGAAATTGTATGTTTTACCAACTAACTTAAATTATAGTGCAATCAGAATTAATTATTATTCAAAATTTACATATTTGAACTGTATTAATATTCTTTATTCACAATAACAAATAATTAAACTTTATCAAATGTTAACTTAAAATTAATGAAAATTAACATGATTTTATTTTTAAAAAAGTATACAAAAAGAGCCACAATAGGATAAAGGTGTTATATTATGTATTAAAATGTAATCATTAATCGAGTATGTAGTATAACAAAGTTTGATTGACAAATTCTGCAATATCATTTTTAAACATTAGAATGAATAGATTCAAAAATAATGTTGAGTAATATGGTAAATTAGATTTAAACAATAAACCTTGGCAAACAGTTGAGAATGCTTGAATGTTAAATGATTACCATTGAAACAAAATTCTCTTAATTTGGACAAATCAATTACTTCAGATTCCAATACTTGGTCAAGATCCTTCAACCTAGAAAAATAAACAAAATTCTCTTTGACTATAAATTTGAAACTATAACAATAAACTATTATATCATTACACAATAATCAGGTACGCCCCGTCACAGTAATCACACAATTCACTTTCATAGTACCTAGTAGTAAGTATTAATTAATATTTACCTTGAATCGTAAGTAGACATTTCGGACGAAAGTAGTTGTACAATTTTTTAAAGAGCCGCAAAGAACGGATTTTACATTTAAACACATACCAATTGTCAGAGATTTTTTTTTCAAATAGAAACTGCCAAAGAATATTTCTCTAAGTTCAACCTCCAACGACAAAATAATAATATTGAAAAATGTGTTATCAAACTGTTTAATATTGTTATCTTATCAAAAACGTGTCTGCTTATTCTCGTAAAATTCAAAAACGCGAAAGAAATATTAATATTTTTTCTCCGCCGATCGTCATTTAGTGTTATCGGTTTAATTTGTCAATTGAAAAATATCAACTCATCAAATAACCCATCCATACAATTTTACGGCATAATATTATAATTAGTGATATTAGTTATTATTTATCAACAACACAGATTTGAAAATTCAACGAAATTGTTAAATTTTTGTTGGTAAAACAAAATCAACATGAATTCCAGAGAAAATAATGTACTAACCATTTTCACATTGAAAAATGATCAAAGCGAGTTCAGATTTTTTTCAAATGGTTTATAATATGGTTTATATTAACATTACATTTTGTCGCATTCCAGCTGGTGAACACTATGATATGTTGAGAAAAAAAACTCACTTGGTTGCTCGAACCGGGTTCAAAGGTGATATAGAAATTTCAGGAGATACATCTGTTAGTCGCTGTCACGCAGAGATGTCTTTGGTTAAAGAAGTAAAATAGTCGTAATTGTTAAATGATTATAAAGATACATAATATTGTTATTTTTATTTTCACTATTTTCAGGTAGTTTGTGGCAAGGTAAAACTTCTCTTGAAACTAATAGATAAAAATTCAATGTTTGGAACATTTATCAATGATGGCATCAACCTCAATGAAAGAATTACACCTAATTGTCCTATTATTTTAAAATTAGGTGACAGAATTCGTTTTGGAGTATATGTTAGCACTTGGACGTTAGTTAACTCTTAATACTTCAGTTAGCTATTCATAAACATTTGAAAAATTAGAAATTAAAATTTTGTTGCAGTGTGGTAAAATATCATTTTGTGGCTTGTCCTTCAACCTTGAAAATGGTGGATAAAGAGATTTTAAAGAAATCGCTAAAAGAGGTTGGAGGTCAAGTATCTCGTGATTGGTCTGAAGACTGTACACACCTCTGTATGAGTTCTGTAACTGTCACAGAAAAGGTACTTACATTATGCCTGTTTTAATTAATATACATTATTCAGTGTGTAACTTGAATATCTTACTCCTGAAGGAACTTGTTCTGTTCAATTTTTTTTTTTAATAATTTTTAAAACCTTGTGTCTTCATTTGATTTGTTCTTTTGTCTTCATTGTTTTCATATTTTTTAAAAAACTAAATATAAACATTTTACTGTTTAAAAAAATATTTGTAAAAAATCCATGATAGCTTGGTAGTCATTAGTCATTTTATACATTAAAAAAAAAATTGAAGAAAATTAATGATTCATCATTAGTATATATTTCTAACACCAAAATGTTTTTCAAAATATATTTATAAAATAACTATCTTTGATTTAGTATAAACAATTTGGCATAATTCTAGTTTAACTCCTAAGCAATTTTTTGGGGTTTTTTTTTCAAAATGTGTGTTTTTGCATTTACACTAAGAGTGTTAAAAAAAAGTTGGATACATTTTGTTAAGAAGTTATGGGGGGAAAAATTCATAAAGTTCAATTTTTTTTTGTTAAGCATATTTGTTAGTTAGAATTTAATATGAAAATTTGTGTTTTTAAATGCTTAATCCATTGATTTAAACTTTCCTATCATACCTATTACCTATTATTATAATTTTTGTACATTAACCTTGAAAAATGAGAAAAATGCGGTCAAAAGTCATTTTTTTTTTATTATTATTTGTAGTTATGATGTAATTATCATATACTGATGATAACAAAGTTTCTTTTATTGACGCCAGAATAAGTCTATCTAACCTAGTCTTAGAGTTATAGATGTCACCTGGAAAACATAAATTTTGAAGAAAAAAAAATGCTCGGAATTATTAACTGGATTTACTTTTTTTTTTTTATATAAAATTGATAACTATCATAGATATCCTAGATTAAGTTAATTTTTTGTGTATACTATTGTTGTAGAAATGTAATTGTTTGTGATATTATCTATTTATTTAGGTTTTATTATGTCTAGCATCTGCTAAATCGATTGTACTCCCAAAATATTTTAACGATCTGTCTAAAGCATTAATGCTTGATTCATTAGAAGAATTGCCGTATTGTATAGATTACAAACCTATATTGACTGAAAAACTTTTAAACCCAAATGTTGTGTCAATGGATGTTAACAATAACCGTAAAAAACTATTTTCTGGTAAAACATTTATTTGTTCTTCAACAGAACAAATGAGTCGTATTTCAAAAATAGTTAAAACAGCAGGTATTTTACTAAAATTAAAATTATCCATAGAATATTAACATAATATATTTTATTATTTAGGCGGTGATCTCAAATATTATATGGATAGTATAATATGTGGCGAAGAATATAAGTTTGAAATGTTGCACTCACAAGATTATATTATTATGCAACAATGTCAACGTAATGCACAAAGTAATGAAAAATATAAACCAATTTTAGGTAATTATTTTCTGTAACAATTATTGTTTGTTGAATTTATTTAGATTTCCTTGCATAGTTTTAAATGAAAAAATATTCAGCAATGAAATAAATAATGATTGTATTTGTTTTAATATAAAGCAGTCATCACCAGAATAATATAGAAAAAAAAATAACTAATCAAAATAAATCTATATTTAATTAATACTCAATGGTTTACTTTATTTTAAATCATATATCTAAGATTTATTTTTCCTTTCGGATATTGAATATAACATTTTTTTTTACTTAATGTTTAAATATTTTAGATTCTGAGCAGAGCAAGGAATGTATTGGTTTTACAATGTTTACTTTTTTTTTTTTCTGTGAACAACTTTTCTACCAGCAATTTTTCTCTAATTTTCAATGACTTTTTTCTGAAAGGAAATTGATTGAGGGGGTACTTAAGAGAGGTTATTTTTAGATTTTTCCCAGGAGTTTTCCTAATAAATGAGAAAAACAGGAAAATAGGTACAATATTAAACAAATATTGTTAAAGAAAATATATAATGCATACGTATTATGTAATTATTTTACCATTATATTGCATACATATTGTTGAGAAAGCAACACTATCAACCAAACTCCGCTCAGAATCATCTTCTCGTTAGCAATGGTTAATCGTTGCTTACAGATATGCATTAAATTAGCCATAACAATGGCTACACTCATCCCCATTATCCTAGGAGTGCTTTTTTATACAAAGTTTATATTGATTTCAGACAAACTTAAAATTATTAATAAAAGGCCAATACCAGAAAATGAAATTGGACTATCCATTATTTATGCAAGTACAATAAAACATTGTAATCCTTCTTATAATTATACATTGGTTAATATTCAATCTCAACCAATTGTAACTACCTCACAAGAACCTGTAATCCTAGAACCTGAGACTGCTGAGGTATTCGAAAAGCATAGTTTTGCTTTTATATTATTCATAATAAGTAGGGCTTGGAAGTTATAACTAATTGTAAAATATACAAAACAAGATAAAAATGAAATACTAATCTCACCGTTGTTGTTAAATTAATAATAATGGACTGAGATGATAAGAAATAACAATAAAAAACTGTTAAATAATATTGAGTTTTGTATTTAATATTATTTAAAATACATTAGTTAAGAAAGAAAAAAAGTTTTTTTAGCGAATATTAAGTATGCAAAATATATGTTTTAAATGTTTGATTTTTAAACTCTTCGTTGTATAAAAAAAATATCTAGCTTGGTCTGCTATGAATCCAGTGCATACAGAAATATTTGGTACTCCTATAACTTCCGAGCCCTAATAATAAGTCATTGATTTAAATGATTTAAGAATATTATATATTTCAGATACTAACGGTGGACAATAGTGAAATGTTTTCAGTTAATATTGTACCTGATTCTCTTACACAAGGCAGTAATAAAAGGTAGTATTTCAATGCAATAGTACTTTAATATTACTTTTTATTCTAATTTAATTGAATTAGATCTATAGACATGGTGATGGACTCTGAAGAAATTGTAATGTCAAAAAGACAGGCTTTAATATTAAATGATAAAGGAAAATATGATAGTGTAATTGAGCCAACTCCTTTATGTAGCAACATATTGTCTAACAATGAGGTCAAAGAAAATTCAGAACAATTCATAAGTGTAATCGAATCAACTCCAACATGTAGTAATATTTTGTCTAATAATGAGGTCAAAAAAAATTCAGAACCTTTCACAAGTGTAATCGAATCAACTCCATCATGTAGTAATGTATTATCTTACAATGAAGTCAAAGAAAATTTACAACCATTTATAAGTGTAATTGAATCAATTCCAACTTGTAATAACATATTGCCTTCTCATGGAGTAAACTTTAAGTCATCAAATGGTGATTCGTGCTTAACTACAGTACAAAGTTCCCAAGACATTTTGGATAAAAAGGATTTCTCTGGTCGGGTTCAGTTCCTTCAGCCTATTACAGTGGACAAAAATGTGAATAGTACTGTTCAACACAATACAACAAAACGGAAGTTATCAAGTTTTTGTTTAATATCTGAAAATGAGGATGGAGATGAAGATGAAGATCCATTTGATTATATGGATATCGACGAAACTGAAGAAAATACCATTAAAAAGCCAAAAAGAGAACAAATGGAATCTGTCTTTCCACCCGTGCTGTCCGCAATGACCAACAAGAGCGAAAATTCTAAATCTGTAGAAAAAAACTATAATTTATCTGTTAATCCAAATTCAAATATAGCTGTTGACCCTAATTATATAATGAATTTATTAGCCACTGCCAAAGGAACAGGACAGTTCATTGACACGAGTAAACATTCCAATAATTCGGTAAGATATACTATACAGTGAAACCTGTTTAAAATGGAACTTTTAGCGATTGAAGTAAATGTCCATGTATCACAGAGTTTGGACAGATTTTACTTTAATGTGCATATTTTTTTTTTTTTTTAATTGAATTTCAGTTTGTAAGTGTATGTGAAAATTCTAAAAACAACGACTTAATAAATTCTGTTATAACTGAAACTGTTAACATGGTGGTGTCCAGACCTATTAAACAAGTTAAAAGTATGGTTGAAGGAATTCCGCATCTGAATAACTTTAAGAAATTCAGGAGGGTAAGAGTATAAATTGTTTTAATATGAGAGGATTTTTTCTTAGATTTATGAATGTATAAAACAGCTGATACAGAGGATGGGTGTGCCACTGTTACCTTAGGTCAAAGTTGGGTAGGTTGATAAACAAAGTTCTCTTAAAAATATGATAAACCATGGCTAACAAAAAAACATGAAACCATAAGCTCTGCTTTACTTAAAATCTAAAACGATTAGATGACTGTAAACTTTTGTTTTTTGAGCAATAAATATAACTAATTAACCTCCTAATAAATTTTCGAACATTTTTGTTTTGGTAAACTATGTCATGAATGTCTAATATATAAAAAAAACTTTAAAAAATTGTAAAACGTCAAACTTATTATTAGTAGCTCAACAGTTGTTGGATCGTTTTGAAAACATCTAGAATATAAGTATGTATTCTGTGAAAATTGCATGGTTACTATTATTATGAACAGAATTGCAACAAAAAAACAAAATTGAAAATAATAGAACCAATATATCTGTAAATTTGGTCATGCTTTTTGCATTATTTCCCTATTTCGCCCAATTTTTAAGAAAACTATATGAAAAGTCAAAACGTGACTTTTTACGCACCTACTAGATCTAAGATGCTACAAAATGGCCTGTTGTTTTTTGATTGAATCAAGATTTCTGGTTTTAAATTAAAATAATCGTCTATTTTTCTTTAAGACCTTTTAGTTTTTTCCCAATTATTATGAAAAAGACTGAAAATCAAAAAATAGCATTTCCAATGCACAAACGATCCAAAATTTAACGAAAAATGTTTTTTTTTTTTATTGAAGAAAGATTTCTGGCAAAAATAAAGAGCGCATATCATAGTTCAACTAATGGTTAATAAATTCCAAGTTTTATAAAATAAAGACGTATTAGACATTCTTTATCATGGAAAATATTAATTTTTTTCGATATTTGTATATTTAGAAAACTTAAGAAACAAACTGTTTTAAAATGTTATATTCCCGATACTATTTTTCATCCTTATTTTTGTATTGAAATCACCATTAGAACTCATAGAAATTTTTTTGTGGGGGGTAAGGGAGACAAGATGAAATATTTTAAATCACATGCAATTAAAACACATAAAAATTATTCAATTATGACAAATTTATTGGCACATTAAAAACTAGGGGGTGCCTTTGGAAACCACTATGAACTTTTGATTGAAAATAACAACTTATATTAAAAATTCCATTATCAGATAAAGTATTAGTTTGAATATAGTTACTATTTTTAGTTCCTAATAAATCCACTTGCAAGGTATTTTATATTTTACGTTTGGGTAGAAGGAGAATGTGTGTTTGAATAATACTTAAATTTCATTTTATGGACATAACTTTATTTTTAATTTTATATTTTGGTTGTCATTCAATTAAAATAATTGTATTAACCTGAAATTTGCAAAAAATACTAATATTGTACTTTATTAAATGTAGTCAAACATTCAACATATTTTGTTGATTTTTGAGCTATTTGATAGGCCGTTAAATGTTATGTTAATACGGCTAACTAGGTATACTTAGTGGTGCGACCTATGTTGGCTGAAACTGTGGGAAAATGGACCGACATGCACGGGTTTCAACCGGTTTTTGTCTGTCGTACGGTGGGTTCTCTTTTGAAAAATAGTATAAAGGTTCATAGTAAGTTGAAATTTTTAAATCATTTTTAACAGAAATTCACTCAGAATTATATTTTGTCAACAATGATTTATCATAATGTACAGAAATAAAGAACTTTTTATATCCTTCCTTCCTAACTTTTTACTTACAACAGAAACACACCTGTCAACAGTGTAAACTGCTTTTATTTACATTTATTTTTATATACATATATTTGATAATTATTTAGTATTAGTCTACAATTCTAATTTTTTTTTTCTATATGTACATTATGTTTTAGAAAGGACCAATCATACGAATTCCTAATATCATTCCCTTGGAACTCAGCCAAGACTAATTATATTGCTGTTGTAAATCAATATTTTTTTTTGTTAAAACGTATTTTAGTAATAGTTTAAAAATCTTTTTAATCTAAAAATAAGTTGAAAAACTTTATATTTTGTACTATTTAAATTTTAAATTGTATTAATTTTTTTCAAGTAAACATGTTTTTTTTTAATTTTCCGATTACACACAAATCTTTGTTTGATCATTTTTTATTCTAATCAAATTGTGTATAATTTCTATCAACACTGTACTGGACTTCACAACTTCGTGTAAGCCATTGTTATCATAAATGACAGATTCCATTTCTACTCCAGGAGCACCTGTATAAAGTATACACATAATAGTGTCAATATTTGAGATTGAGATTAACATTCAATATATTCAAATGTAGTGAAAATTGGTTATAACAAAAAATAAAGAGAAATTTAATTTATTAATTTGCTTTGATCAAATTATTTTAATGTAGCCGCGTCAACAAGAGCCATCAATTCATATTTTTGTACTTCATACAATAATATCACTTACCACGCTTACCTACTGACTCTTTAATTTTTTCTTATGTACTTCTTTAATCTTTGGAAAATGAATATAATTAATATCATCAAGTATAGATAATATCTATATTTTATTATTTATATTCAACAAAGTATAATAATAGTTTTAAATTTATTATAACACATATTGACATAGTAAAAATATTTTTGATTTATTTGCAAAAACATTAAATTGTATTTATGTATATTCCTCTAATTTATGTAAAATATTTCCTGGTTAGTTTAATTTGTAATTGTATTTTCATTATTTTTGTACCTATTGTTATTAATTTCTGTCATACTACTACACTTAAGTCCATACCGTTACAAATAATAAATAAATATAATATTATTATAAATTATAATAAACCTGGTTTTCAAATTACCATAATTTTGCAAGCAATCCCATTTTTCCAATGCTATAACCATTGGTTTGATTTGTGTATTTTGATTTTGCTCAACTAGAAATTTGAGTTGGTTGCGATTATAATCGTCAAGAGTCGCCCAATAGAAAAATAATTCTTTCAGTTGAGGCACTACATTAAATTAATATTTTATAGCATCACAATAATTATGCAAATAATCTTCAGACTTACCAAAAGGAATCAAATCTGTTAATATATTAGCATTATGATATGCAGACATTTTTCACTCGTTAAAATTTACTTTATAAAATGTAATTATAATTTTTTGATGGAAGATCTAAAACTGAATACCAATTACCACAGATTAAAATATTTTCAAGTTTAAAATTTGCCCCCATAGAATGTCACTAATCATCTAAAGATATTGAATTTGCTTCAAAATGTATATATCATATTAAAAAAATGATACAATATTACAATTACATACAAATTCCTATCACAATACCTACTCAACAGTGGCAGTATTAAGGGGAAGCGATATAGGGACCACTCCCCCTTGTTAATTTTTACAATTTTATTTTCATTTAAGTGAAATAAGAATAAATTAAGTAGGTTTAGAGGCACAGGCTTTTTGAAGACTGAGATCTGTCTCATAATATTAGTAAATGATAATTCCTGGTAAGGAAAATATTGTTGTCGCATACAAATTCCCAGTACATTAAAAACGTGAATATTTAAATATTGACATTAATATTGTACTTATTGTATTAATATATTTAATATTTCAACTATTAATTACTAAAATTATTATATTATTTATACCAAGTTATTATAAAATTCTATTTCCATATTTTACACTAAAATTAGGTCACTTTTAACTATCTGTTAGTTATCATTATTGATTGTACACTAATGTTCTACCATTTAATTGAATCTTCTATACCAATTAGGTATTTTAGTAATTATTTTAAAGAAAATAACGACATTAGCCTGAGTTTCAAAACAAATGATGAGAGCCCAATACAGAAAATTCAAGTATAGATGTTTGGTAGAATGAAATAGGTACACTAAAAGGCTAGATAGCCTATTTTATAAATATTATTTTTTATAATTTTAATTAAATAAGCTAGAAATATAAATATAATATTTTTAAATGTATTCAACAAATGTTGAACCCAATGAACATTTGTTTTTTACATTTTAATTTTAATTCCTATGATGAATAGGAACAATACCTATATTTTTTTTAAAAAAATTAACATAATAGTAACACAGGTTTAAATAAAAACACATATTTATGTAGGTAAATTCCCATTTTTATTGTTTTTAAATGTTGATTAGTACTAAACATGGCTATAAGTAATTATCTATATAAAAATATGGTACAAATAATATCCGCATCATAAATTTTAGTTAACTATTGAATCATCAACAATTTGAAATAAGTTTCTTGTTCAATCCTTATTCATCTCATTTCACAGCACTGCTTATGACAAAAAATTGAACTTTCCATTATGTCTACATGCTTACATTTTAAAATAATGAAAGCATAAGACAGTAAAATACAATATAATATTAGAGCCATTAAAAACATTTGTACAAATATTCATTAATTCATTTATCATACTACCACACAATAATCTGTGTACCACAACAGTTTAGAGAACCACTGCACTAGTGTTTAAGCAGATTAATACATTTATAATTATTGTATTAGTTTACTAATAATACACTAAGGGTTTTTCAACCAATTTATTATAAATAAATAACATAATCCAAAAGCAGTAACATACAGGTATTCTAACACTCATTACAAATTTGTAATAGAGGCCTTAAAATTAGTTATAAAAAAAAAATATTCAATAAATAAATTTGTTATTAAAAATGACCAAATATATTATATATAAGGTACAAATTTGAAAATATGGGTATATTTTAAGAATTTAGTTAGAAAAAACAATTTATAATTTATATTACCATTAAATATATTTGTTTTAATTAACCAAACATACATGTTATCAACATCAATACTTATTTCTTAACCAAATGAGGATTACCATAAATCTTCTAATCTTTTCTTTTTTTATTATATTTTGATTGATAAATATTTTAAATTAGAAACTTATTTCATTTACCATCAAAAACCACATTAAATCAATTTGAATGTTACAAAAAATTAATCAATACTAATACTAATAATTAACAAATTGGGTGCCAAACAGCAAGTCAGTCACCAATCACCAATGTAATAATGAAACATGGCCAATTTGATACACACTAAACAGACTCAGACAAGAGTAGGACAAAGGAAAGATAATTTAATAAAATGGGGGCTGCTAGATAGTGTAGACATCTTGTGCATATGAGAACAGACAATGCAAAACATCATCGCATACAAAGCTTGCTTTCACAACTGCACTCCAGAAGACATCCAAAAAGGCACAAGCGTGACCCCCATATGGGCTGAAACAATATAAATTCACTAATAACTCCCTTAAAACACATAGATTACCATGTCATATTTTATTTGACATTTTACTTCATTAGAGTAATGCTTTTTTATTATATATTGTTTATTTGTCTATTTATATTATACTATTATAATAATTTCCGTTTACTATGTGCCTATTACAAAGAAAAGTAAATAATAATATGCCCATGGCTTTCAATTTGGTTTAAGCTTTACTTAGTTCATTACTAGTATCATTTATTAAAAAGCTATTAATATTTTGAATATTAAAACTTCTTAATATATTATAAAAAATAATTTGTTAAGAACATAAATATTTTAAATTTAAAAAATCACGATCAAACGAGTCATACATAGATAATATTATGTCATCTGAGAAAATAAACTATATACAGTATACATAACGAGGAATTAGGTTTAGGAATTATAAAACTTTAGCAAGTCAAATAAAATGACTAAACTAAAAGAAAAAAAACAATTTACATGAATTCAAACTCAAATTTATTCTGCTTTAACTTCTTCTTTAGGCTTCTTTACTACCTTCTTTTTTGGACAGTAAGTTTTATTAAACAGAGCTTGGTAAACATTAGTCCTAATCTTGTTTCTAATTCTTCTGGCCCTCTTAAGCTTGAACCTTTCAAAGTCGCCCAAAGAAGCACGCTAAAATGTATTAAATATAAAGTTTAGTATAATGATATAAAATAATTAAACTCTGTACTAACTTTTTCTCTGTTGGCAGCTTTCTCAGCCCATCTACTCTTGATCCACAAATTGCTCAAATCAGATTTGATCCATGCTTGACGCACAGTTCTGGTTGATCCATTGTATGGGAAGTTTACCTTAAATTTGGTTAGGTGAATTTGGCTGATACGCATTTTAGATCTGGGGACTCCAGATTCAGGACCATCAACCAACACCTATAAATCGAGCACAATTTAAAGATGAAAAGACAATAGCATTTAAAAAAAAAAAAAAAATAGTAAATAGTATTTAAATAATTACAGTTTTTTGGTCAATACAGTCTACTATGCAACATATTTTGCCTTTGTATGGACCCTCAACAACATAGACCACACGGCCTGTCTCAACAAATCTCTTGAAAGGCTAAATAGTAAAAATAATATTGTACATTATTAATTATAAAACTGTGCACATTTTATACAGGTATTAAATTTATAAATGTATTAAAACAAAGAAACAATTTGAAATTTAATTCCTTTTAATGTACGTGTAGAAAAAAAATTTTTTGTTGAGAAATATATTTTTTCATAGATACTCAAATATACATGATATAATTCCTACAATTAACCAAAATTAGAGGGTGAGATATTTAACGCCAGAGCATCCCCCAAATACGCAACCGCAAACAGATTAAAATTTATTACATACAAAAACCTTTTTTTTTACGGTAAAGTGAGATATACAATACCTAATGAAAAATGTAATTTGAATCTGGTTGTTATTAACAAGTACATAGACTATTTGTTATTATACATTGAAATGTATAGATAATTTGTATTTATTTTATTAAAATAAACGCCAAACGGCATTAATTAATAACTTTGTTAATTTTAACAAAAATTGTACTTTTTTCACATAGATTTTACCCTATAAAAAACCTACAAATTTAATGGTCACACAGAAGGTTTACACAGTAAAGGTCGACGACGGGTATTTCTTTATGACACATTTTAACAAAAATCAAATTTGTTTTTTGTACTTAATATATAGATTGAATGTGTTCAATAAACGTTCTTTATATGAAAAATTTATAAAAATATTGTAATAATTTACAAATAAAATCTTAATGTATCACAGATATATATATACTCTGTGTGGTACATGAACGGCATAGAGCATGGCCAAGAGAAAACTATTACCCTATATTAATTTATTCTTAATTTAGTAAAATACTTTTATAACTTTGTGAAATATTATTTTTATGTTTTAATAAGTCAAGAAATGGTTGATATAAAACGTTTACTCACCATTTTATCCGAAAATTGAGCTTACACGTTGAACTGCAAACTTCGAAAAGGAAGAAGAACGAGAAGACCAGAACTAGTAATCATAACCTAACATTAGTAAATCGTAAATGGAAAAATACAACACAGCGTTCTAGCAGTATTTTGACTATGATGTTAGGAACACGGATTGATTGTTCCATGAAATTTTATTCAAATACCTAGATAATTTATACAAAAAATAATAACATTTTAATAACATAAAATCAATAATGATTTCATTCTACTACTTATTGTTCAATATGATGTATTGTTAACTTTGAGGATCAACAAATTTTTAGACAATTAGATTTTAACATAAGCAGGCAAACGATAAACTTAAAATAAAACGTATGGCTTAAAATATTATTAAACATAAAGCCATGTATGCCATACACTAGATAGCAAAAAACCTATAAACATTGGTTATTGATATTTCTTCCATGGACAAACACGTATCAATATACGCTATCATGGTGTTGAAGGGAGGAGTCTGGGAAATGGGAATAGGGGAGCCGAGAGTCAAATGACTCGAATAGCCATTTTGTGTCCTATACTTCCGAATGCTGAATAGATTTCAGAGGTGTCTGATGTTCGAAGTTTTATAATTTTAACAGTGTATGTGACGATTTTTTCGGACAAATTTTCTAGCTTTACTCGTCATACTGAGCATTTCATGTTATAGTTGTCTTGTAACGATAATAATTGTCATAAATAACGCACACAACAGAACAACACAATGGCCTACAGAACTAGGTAACTATGGAGTTGTTTATTAGAAATAAATATCTGTTGGTGTTATTGAGCCATTGCAATATTCTGTTTTGAATTCCATTGTTCCGTTTCCTTTTTCAAGCTCATCCAAATAAATCCAACATCCAATATTGTATTCTAACAATTTTTTACAATTTATTAAGATTATCCCTTTAACCTCTGCCTTTAGTTTAATTTATTATATTTGTTTTTCTCCAGTCGTGGTGGTTTTGGTAACTCTAGAGGTGGTGGAGGAATAGGAGGAAATCGTGGAAATTCCTATGGTTCAAATTATGCCGGTTCAAGAGGTAGTCGTGGTGGTAATAACTACAATGATAATTATAGAAACCGAGGCGGTAACTCATTTCGAGGATCTCGTGGAAATAATAGAGGAAATAATGGATCCTGGTCAAACAATTCACTATCAACTGGTGGTTATGGCAATATGAATCGAAATAGTGGATCTAACTGGTCTTCTCAAGGAGACTCTAGTTATGATTCAAGAAACCGCTATTCTGGTAAAATTTTAAACAAATTATTTAAGTACATACTAACACTAGTTGAATAATAACAACAATAATTTCATTATTGATAATGTTTAAGAGGACGCCACACAAACATCTTCTGTTCTGTCTTACAAACTCGAAACATAGTAAATTTGCGTTCAGTAAGACACATTTTGTGCAGTTTTAATATTAAAGCAAATTAACTTATTACCAAACTTAAAGGTAAAAAGATTATATATGCCCTAGTGTTGATGTTTGTTTAAATATTTTAATTTCTAAGCAATATAATCATTAAATTGTGATATTTACTATACTCATGTCTCATTTAAAAATAAAAATATCGAAAAATTATAAACTCCAAAACACTTCTACTTACATATAATTTTGGCGATAGGTCAATTTGCTTTAATATTAAAATTAACGGCACAAAATGTATCCTAAAGAACGCAAATTTGCTATGTCTCGCATTTGTAAGATGAAGACAATAGATGTAATTGTGGTGTCCTCAAAAGAAATAGCTATTTTAGTGTCTGGCCCATATCTAACTATTTATGTGTCCTATGCTCTGAAATGTCATATTCTCGGTATATCTACCCAACTATAAATAATCATAATGTAAACATTTTTTCATATTTTCAAACATAGACCTATAAATATAAAATATTTAAAGAAGGTGTCTTATCTGAATTATAATTTATTTAAATATAATACACGGACAATTTAAGGTGCTATAAAAAAGAGTTGAAAGGTTGTATATCCAAAGGTTATATTCTTCATTAGAATATCCATAGAATAGTTCTTTTACTGAAATAGCTACTCCATACTTAAAGTATTAAAAGTGATATAGCTAGGTATAAATTATTATAAAAATTGCTTAAGTAATAAAAAAATCATTAGAAACTTGATGTTATTATTATAGGTCTAACATTACTATAGTTAAAATGTTTTATCTTAAAAATTGTTATTATTAAGGGTTATTCTAAATCTTTTAGTGTTAATAATTAGTAAAATAATCACATTACTAATTTACTTATTAAGACTGTAATTAAGTGTTGTTTTTATTATAATAGTTAATTTTTTTTTATTATTGATAATTATAATTTTAGGTAATAATGATCGATATTCAAATAGTCATAATGATGACTACAGGAGATACAAAGAGGTATGTAAAATAATATTTAGTTATTTAGTCTGCTTTCATTTCACACTGTCAGAGATAGCACCAAAAAATATTTTACTTAAAATGTTTAAAAAAAAAAACATTTTAGTATAGTTATTTATAAAAAAATAAAATGTCTAAAAATCAATTTAAATTTAAGTTGCTGTTATTATATGTGGTTAAACAAATTAATCTAACAATATATATATATATCATTTTCAAAATCTTAACATTAGTAAAACTTCAATATCTATTTAATTACCTAATAATTTAAAGTTAAAAATATATTATTATAAAGTAAATTATGACTTTCATCCTTAATTTTTCAAAATTAATTGTATTAAATTAAAATACCATTTTTTTAAAAGTGATTATCATGACATAGAGTGTCCGTCTTGTATTTACCTCCGATTACTAATTCTTATTTAAAAATATTGTTAGAAAATCGTTTATTGAATACTAGTATCACATAAAAAAAATTTAAAAATGCTATTAAAACAATTCTAAGTAATATTACTTATCATACTTCTGAGTTTATTGCAATAATGCTAATATTTGACATTGAGGTTGTTGGATTGGATCTTCAAAAATACTATATTGTATATGTTGATACTACAAATAAATTAGTTCAATTGAAGACTGCCACAAAGTATTTATTTTTGATGCAAGATTTTATGATGATAATATCAATAAAAAATTTTTAGTGTTCATGTTTATTGAAATTATAAATAATTATTGATGAGTTTTGAAATGATACTTGTCATGTTGTTCCAAACATGTACATTATATTTATATATATATATATATATCCTCTAAATAAATATGTAAAATAAAAAGGTTAGATTGACATATTGATTGAAAATTGCACGCAGGGTGGAAGAAACCACAGAGACTCAGACATGGGTGGATATTCGAGTTCCGGTGATGATTTTGGCCGCTATAGTGGTGGTGGCAGTTATGTAGAAGACCGTAGCAGCAGATCGTCCTATGTCCCTGATAATAACTATGGTGGAAGTAGCAGTTTCAGAGGCCGTGCCAGTTCACGTGACTACGGTTCTGATTTCCGTAAGCCACTGCCTCCCAATGATGATCGCTCTTCGCCTCCATCTCCTAGATATTCTGGCCCGTCAAACAGAGGTAGAGGTACCAGAGGTTTCCGTGTTGTGGATAGGCCTGGTATGAGGGGTAGATCTTCTGCCAGTGTATCATATAGAGCATCATACGGCGGCAGTGCAGGACTCATCAAACGCAAACGACTTGAACCCACATCTAATTGGCGTACGAATCCAATTCGTAAAGGATATGATATGGCCAATAGAAGAATACATACAGTCAAAAGGTAATTAAATGGCGACTGTTATGTTTATGTGAAGCGTTACAAAAGATGATGAAAACAATAATATCATATCTCAGTAAATAAAATATATACATGTATAACAAAATTATAATACAACATGAAATCAATTTATAAACTATAAGCCATTGGGCAGAATGAAAAAGTATTAAACAAATATTACATATTATGTTCAGAAAATTTAAATACAATTAATGGCCAGTATAACTAAAATTTATTAAAGATTATTATGTTCAAAATTCCAATTATGTATATTGTACAATGGATAATATTTTAACAAGAAGTTTTTGAATACACCATAAAGTTTAATTTGGATAATAAAACATGAACTACATAGATATTGTAGAATTATTCATTACGACGCCAATATTAAATCTCAACAAAATTTATTGATATATTACATAATATTTCACATAAATAGTGTAATTGTATTGCATCGTACTCATTGAATTAATGAAACAAATTTGATCGAAGATGTAACTTATGGATGATATCCAGATGAGATAAAAATATCAAAACATAACCTGAACACTATATATTATGTACTAATCAACAAATTATTTTGAAATTACTCGTATATAATTATTATTAAGTATTACAAAAAAAAAAAATACATATATATTAGTATACCGGGTACACACTAAAGTTATTATACTACTATACAAAAGTATATAATTAATATTACTGATATGAAATAGATTTGAAATTTAAATTCCTCTACGCTCGCAACTGATTCTGCAATACAAAAACTACAAGCGATTTATCATTTTTTTTAAAATTATATTAAATATCAACTATTCTTGGTTTGTAAACTAGTATTCAATTAGCAATTTTTATGTTGTATTATTTTATGATATAAAATAAATGCTTATTAAATGTATTTTGCGTTTTGGTACTAGTTTTTACTTTGGTGTGCATCCGGTTTTATTTAATGCCTTAAATAATAATACAGATTTTAGATCTCAGTTTCTAATTTGAAATAATATTTTATTTTTCATAAAATTAAGAACCCATTGATTATTACTAAAAAATTGAAATTCTAATTAAATATACTGTTCATATTTTTTAAAAAAATAACAATATCAATAAATTAGACTTATTTGTTAGTACTTACTCATAGTTATGAGCTGAATTTTACCACCAAAAATTACTACTTAGGTTTTTTTTTTTTTTTTTTTTAAATTCCTTTATTACATTATTTATTTTATTTTAAAAGTCAGTTTCTTCATAAAACATTAAAATTATTTGATATAGTTTGTGTGAAATAAAAACTCATTCAAACTGCAATTAGTATATTATAATTCTGTTGCTATTTACACCAACCATGCTTTTATAGTTTTGACCTAGCGTTCAAAAATATGTGAGTATATGTGTGCCAATTTAGTGCATTTTCAATGTAGATAAATAATTTCAATGATTTCTTATTTCAAATGAAATATCAACTAGTTTAATGTTATTGTTTATTACTGTAGATCAAGGAATGGTAATTAAATAACAATAAGTTACTCTAAGTTTTTAAAAAAATATGATTAAAAATTAAATTGAAACCAATGATGTTTAACTAGCTATAATAATGATTTAAATATGTTTTAACAGAACTAGTAATTTGAGAGATCATGATGATTATCGTGCAAGAAAAATCGCCGAATTTAGAGAAAAAACCCGTGTATGTGTATATAAATTAAATTAAGAATATTATAATTAAGAAAATATTTCTTAAATAATTATACTTTTGTATATTTTTGTTAGCAACTACGTGAACAAGTAAGAACTCCATCGGATGAAGAAGAAGTAGAAGAGGAGGTAGAAGAAGAAGTAGAGGAGGAAGAATCTGTGAATGATGATGATGATGATGATGATGATGAAGATGAAGATGAAGAAAGAATCGAAGATGACACAGAAAAAAAAGACAAACCTCCCAAGAAGAAAAGAAAAGTTGTGAAAAAAGTTATTAAAGTCATTAAAAAAAAGGTGAAAAAACCAAAATTGAATGGTGATTTATCTAAATCTGCTTCTGGAGATAAATCTTCAGTGAGTACTAAATAATAATCAACAAAACTAAGTGAATTTTGAATTGTATAATTTATTTATATTATAGCCTCGAAAAAGTGAAAACAATTTATTGGATTCTAGAGGAGAACCATTTATAAAATTAGTGTGTCCACACTGTGATGTTACTTGCAAAACATTTAGGGTTGGTACTTTCTATTGAGATTTTAAATGTTTTCAGATTATCTACTAAATATTATTTAATACTGATAATTATAAACATTTAGGAGTATGAGATACATTTATTAAAAATTCGTCATCGCACGGCAATGTCAAATTTGGCTCGCACACGAAAGCACGAACTATTCATGTTTCGTCAGGATCAGCGTAAAGAACAAAAAGAAATTGATGATAAAGCTTCTGAAGTAGATCCAAAAACCGAGATAAATTATTGCAAATTGTGTCAATTAAATTTCAAACAACCCAAAAGTGATCATTTCAGCAGTGTGTTGCACAAGGTAAGTACAACTTTAATTTAAGTTGTAAAAAAGGGTATTTTCACATAAGATATTTATTACAGAAAATCAAACAATTTTTACAACCAGCTTGCGATGTTTGTCATTTGATGTTTGCATCACCAATGCGCCACGAACATCATTTATGCAGCACTAACCATTTAAAGGTATTTTATTAATTGATATCCATGTAATAATTATTTATAGTGATACATTATTTACTACAGAAAGTTGACGTATATGAACGTCGATCAAAACGAATGGCTGTTGTTGTTCCAAGTGCAGATGAAGCCGATGGTGATGTAGATATGGACAACTTTATGGTTTTGGACTCTGTTGGTTCTGGTGATGGTTTGTTGTCATAATCAATTTATTATTAGTTCAAAAGATATATACAGGATGATTTTACTAACCATGCTCACCTCATTTTTTGTTTTTATTATTAAATTTTATATACATTCAAATTCTGTTTTTTCAAATTTTTAATTGTAGTTAAAGCCAATATTTTTAAATACTTAGATTTTTCACAACATTCACCAAAAATCAGAATTTGAATATGTGCAAAATTTAACCAAAAAATTGGGGTGAACACGCTTAGTGAATATCTCTGAATATAGTTTGTTATAAAATATATAATTTATGTATTTTAGATGAAGGATCAGATGAAGGCGAGAATACTCAAGACAGTAAAGATGATGGAGAAAAGAAAAAAAAATCTAAATCTAAAAAAGAAATAAACTTAGGTAATTATCACTTTTGTTTAAAAACAATAACATTTATATTACTATTATTAAATTTGTATAGTAATAGTTGCTACAATAAATTTTCAGATGTTAATGAATTATAAAAGCTAAGTTACAAATTTGATGTAGTTGTGACTTAGTTAGCTATCATCATTTAATATATTTGTTTATTATGTCTATTCTAAACTTTATTAAAAAAAAAAAATTATAGTTGTATTTTAATAATCCAAACTAACTTGTTTTTTCTTATATCATGCAGGTAAAGAATTTTGTAAAAAAGTAGAAGTTTATTATTGTGAATTATGTAAGTTTAATTTGCCTCCACACGATGATATTGAACAGCAGTTAAGTTTACACTGTCGTAACCGCGTACATCTACAACGATATGTACAGCATTGTGAAAAGACCAAGTCTCCAAGAGAAAAGCCAACTGAAAAAATTATTAAGCAGAGGACAGAAGAAACGAAATCAGACAGTGAATCTTCCAATAAAGTATGAAACTTATATTAACATATATTTTATATTTTCAAAATATGGTTACCTCTGTAGCCACATATTAGTAATCGTAACTACTTTAAATTTTCCATTAACTTTATCACATTAAATATAATTAAACCTAACCTCTACACCCCTCCTTATAATAGGCACCCCGGTTGTCCAATCACCTCTAACACAGGCCCTGAACCTAACATATTACTCCATGTTAAATATTGTGATAAAATTCATTGTATTTCATATTCAAATCAAGAGTTAAGAATCACCGGGTGTAATGTTACATATAATAAATTTTGTTGACTGTAAAATTGATACTCATATACCAAATGTAGAACATAAGATATAGGGAAACATTTTTATCAATATCTCAGTAGTTTATTAGAATTGTATCATGCAATACATAATATGGACCACCAGTCACCAACCACATTATTTATTAGCAATATTCACAACAATTGTAATATTGATCACAATTAACATCTAAAAATTATTAAACCAGTCTCTTTGAATGCCAGGCACTTCTTCTACCATTGAGCTACCATTTCCGCTGGTCTAACATCACAGGTTTGGGCTATTGTTGAATTATTTGTATGTTTGATTGAAGAAACAATTTGGTGCACGGGGGGCCACCTCAATTTTATATTTAAATTATTAAATTTTATTACATGATTTAATTAGTTAAAATTAAGTTAGGTTATGCATGATAACTGTCATGCAGTTACTACTTAATATTTTCCATCCCTGGGTTATTTACAGTAAGTAAATATGATATAATACTCAACTATTGATTCAGAAGATAGTAGAAAATATAAATTTTTTATTCACATATACTAATGCAGTTTATAAAATTCTACACTTTTAGGGTGTTGGAAATGAAGAAAAAAATGATGCTTCAGATGTCGGTGACGATTCTAGTGTAAACATTCAACAAGAAGAAGATATGAAAAATGATTTCGATTGGAGTTCATTGGATAATGTTATAGAGAGTGGCCAAAGTAAAGATAACTCGGATAATGAAAAGTCTGGAGAACCAGAATCATCTAAATAAAAATATTAAAACCATGGGTATGCAAAATACCCTCCTGTCATTTGACATTGGAAAATAATTAGCCATTAGTTTTTCTGTTGGAAATGTATCTATTGTTTCCTTTTAAATAATTTGTGGTTTGTTTTTTTTTTACTTTTTTTTTAAAATCTAAATATGATGCTAATCGGTAATCAATGATATTAATAATGCTAAATATAGGTTAATTACAACTATTTTTAAGTTTCGCATAATAGTAAAAATCAATTCTTTTTCCCAATATATTCATCAGTATTTATTACTTATGTTAAATAATTAGGTAGGTACTATGATTACATAGCACAAAATAAAGTTAAGATTTTATAATGGACCTAAATTATCTAAATTGTTCACATACAATTTCAAAATGCGTTTTAATACTAATTAATTTGTTTCTTTATATTGACAAAAAAAAAATTGTGGAAGTATTTAAACCATACTTAAATTTAAACTTATAACCGTGATAAAATTGATTGTTCAATAGTATAAATGGTTTATTTTTTAACTTATAAATGTAAAAAACATATTTTATTAATAAAACAAATCAATTTAATTTTTAAATAGTCTATGATTATTATGAATTTATATGTAGTAAATATTTTTTTAAATATTAAATTGTTTCATTATTTAAATTTATATTTATTAGTCTTTTATACTATTATAGTTTATCTTTAAAACCCAAGTGTAAAAGAAAATGTTCGAATGATACGAATAATTTTATGGATAATTATAAATATAAAGTAATATTGAAGACTCCTTTTTTTTGACAGCTCAATTTCCTTAATATCATTTAAGCTTTACTATAAATTGTAATGTTAACATTTATAAGCAAATGATGTGAATATAATCAATTATTTGAGTCATGTACTTTTATGATTTTTTTTTCTTTTTTATCAATTTTAGTATTAAAATAGTAGAAAACAAATTTTACTTGATATTGCTTAGACATGTTTTATATTTTTAAAATATGTATCTAAAAAGCAATTTATTAGTTTATTAAAGATCAGGTCAACAGTTTTAAAAAACATTTAACTTTTAAAGTTAATATTAAAGTAAGTAATACATATTTTACTATATTTAAGACACTTCATCTTCATTTAATAGTAAATTAGGAATGCCAGATGATATTGGAAATATTCTTTCAGTTTCTGGGCATATAAGTTCACCATTAATAACTTCTACCTAAAAAAAAATATTAATCAAAATAACTACATTCTTTATATTTTAAAATGAAACAGTTAATCAACAGTAAAATTTAAAAATCGAAATTTGATAAATTTAATAACTGTTTAAAAGTCTTGAAAGAGTAAACTTTTTACATAGATATATTAAGCAAAATATAATTTATACTGGAATAAATATCTTAAACAGTTAAACAATTTATTTACTAAAAATATTATCAAACTTCAAAAGGCTATAATTTGGAAAATTCAAATTAAATAATAATCAATACCTGTAAACTACTGGTTTTTTAAAAAAAAGTTTAAATATTCAAGACAAACTAAATTTTCTCAATCAAATCAGTATTTCATTAAAAATAAATTTGAGACAGTGAGACTTACTTCCATAAGTATGTGGTGTATTTTTTTTAGTAAATCTTCATCCTCTTCGTAGTCATCAACCAACTGTTCTGGTAAACCGTTGCCGTGTCCAATCTAAAAAAGTAAACAAGTCTTATGTACACGAATACCTGCCGCCACATATTCATTTACAGGAATTAATGACGATAACTGTACCTGTATAGCAGCTTCAACTAATACTTTCCAATCAAGTTTCGGAATCATTTTCGTCACAAACTCCATATTGAATTCCTTTTCGGATATTTTTACATCCTTGGCCTGGCAACAACAAAAATAAATAAAACGAGCCTACCAATTTCTAATCATAATAATAACACGCTAGTGAAGACACTTACTACAATACGTAGTGGATATCCAACTTTGACGTTTTTCAGACTCTTCGATGACAATAAATTATGCGTTAACAATTTCATCTTGGTCTGAATAAAAAAATATTTTGGAAAATCGGACCCGTTTGACGTTTCAGTTAATTCAGTCTTTCGGACCGCTAACAGTTAATTCAATATGAAATTGTTATTATGTACAATGTGCATATGCAACATATATATATTAACATGTGATAAAGAAAAAGATAAAATGATTATTTTTCATGCACAGTTCTACCATAGAATAAATGTGGTTCTATCATGGATAAAACATAAAGGACAGGACATACCTAATTACCTATGGGGTGTTCCAAAATGGAATGTTCAAGCTGTTAGAAAAACGATAAGACAAGTTCACTAAAATAGTGTTGCCAAAATTAGAATGTCTAATATTGGTAATATTGACCATGATAACCAAAATGATAACCGTCGTAATAAAGTCTTTATTATCTATTTTGCGTAACCACGGTATTGTCATTACTGTCGATAGTTGATTTTCTGATAAAGAGATAAAACACTTTCCTTAATCCCTTATCACAACACACTAACATAAACATAACATTCAAACTTTAAACGATTCATTCGGTCAATAACGAGCTTTTAAGCGTTTTGTCAACGATATTATGTCGGGTTACGATTCTCGCAGTGACGGTCCTGGATTTGTAGGCATTCGATTTTGTCAAGAATGGTAACATTTTTTCACTACTAGTTCTTATGATAATTCAATTTTAGACATTTAAAAATTATAATTATTATGTACCGTACACCATTACCACGCATTCGAAGTATTGCAAAATTCTGGCTATCACCTTTTAAAAAAATTAAGAACTTGCCATTGCTCTTAGTTTGAAATTATGAATGTATGATATCACATGCCATTTTTACGGATTTATGTAGTCAAAAATAGTTTGTAATACTACACATTCACTAGCTGATAATTTGCAAACTGTTATAATTTTTACACCATATTATAAATATAACCCATTAGCCTATATATATACCTAAATAATTTATAAAATAATAGAAATACAAATTATTAATTTATTCTATTTTACATATTTTACTCTAGTAATAACATGTTGTACCCAAAAGAAGACAAAGAACATAAAGTTCTGTTATATGCTGTAAGTAAATTAATATCCTATTTAAATGTACAGGTACTTTATTAATTGTATTATTTTATTTTTAGTGTCGTAATTGTGATCACAGACAAATGGCAGATAGCAATTGCATTTATGTTAACAAAATTATGCACGAAATTAAGTAATTGAGATTTTGGTTTTATTAGTTTTCTTTTCAAACGTATTAACTGTGTTTTTATTTGTTTAGTGAACTTACTCATATTGTTTCTGATGTGACATCTGATCCGACATTACCTAGGTCTGAAGATCATCCGTGTCCAAAATGTAAACATCGTGAATCGGTATTTTTCCAAGCTCAAACTAGACGTGCTGAAGTAAATTTTATTGTAAATGAGTGTATATTACTTAATTTAAATTGTTTTTATATTATTTTCAGGAGGAAATGAGATTGTATTATGTGTGCACCAATCCACATTGTATACATCGTTGGACTGAATCATCCATTTAATACAATGTACCATACTTTTATTAATTTGTATATTAAAATTGTAATAACAATAAATAAACAAAACTGAAATCAACTAATTTCTTACATTAAACATTTTTGAGTTGCATAATGAATTTCTTGTTTAATTTAACTAGAATAAAAAAAAAAAAGATTATAATTACATATAAACATAAATGGACTTTTGTTTTCTCCCGTGGGTGCTGTGCAATGTACTTTTCTTGAAACAAATAACCTACCACATTTACACAGCCAATTAAATATCCAGTCAGATACAATGTTCAAGAGATTTTTTTTTCTTGGTGATTTTATTAATTGCTTGTTCAGGTAATAGTTTATAAAATTTGTTTGATTCCTTATTTTTAAAATTTTTTTTTTTTATTTTAAATTTTTATATATACAATCTATTCTTGAGGAATAATAAGAATATGTAATGGTAGATGGTAATAACATGATTGAATCATGGGAGGAGCTACCCAGTGGTAACACTGCCCTTTATTTATTAGCTATTAAGATCACGGCACCATTCTCTTCTAAGCCTCCTGGGGTGGTTTCTAGGAATTGTGAGGGAGGAAAGATTTGAGATGAGTGGGTTGATATGGAAAGGAAGTTTGGAATGGAAACGTTTGTAAAAAGTGACTGCTTCTTCATGAACTGTTGATTTTTAGGTCAAAGTGTAAATTTAAGTTAAAGATGTATGGTGGAGAATTTGTGATTTTGCGAAGGATTTTATTTTGAAGGGTTTGAATTTTGTTTGTATTGGATTTTTTAGCATTGCCCCAAAGCTGGAGGCCATAGGTCCATATTGGCTTAAGTAGGGATTTATAAATTAGGAGTTTGACATTTAGAGAAGTATGTTTGTTGTTCGATATTAGGGTTTTAAGGATGCGGAGACGAGCATTTAGAACAAGCTTTTTAATTTTGGTGTGGTGTGAACATGTGAGTCGGCAGTCAATTGTTAAGCCTAGGTATTTAGCCGATTGAGATGGAGGTATTTGAATATTGTCTAAAGACACTGAAGGATAAGGAGGAATGCGAAGAGTGAAAGTTGTATGGAGTGATTTGGATTGGTTAACTTTGATACGCCATTTTTTATATCAGTCAGACATGAGGTCTAGATGGATTTGAAGGTATTGGGAAGCTATGAGAGGGTTTTCATGGATTGAGATAATAGCCTTGTCGTCAGCAAATTCCGCAACAGTTGTGTGCGGAGAGGTGGGTTGGTCAGCTATGTAAATGTTGAACAAGGTAGGAGAGAGAATACCCCCCTGTGGAACGCCTGAGTTGATTTTTCCTATGCCCGAAAAGGATGCACCAACTCTGACCTGAAAGTAACGATCCGTTAGGTAGGATTTGATTAACAGGTAATAGGTTGGATGGAATATGGGCTTTATTTTATATAACAGTCCATCGTGCCATACCCTATAAAATGCTTCAGATATATCCAAGAAGACGCAGGAGCAATAACTTTTTTTTTCAAGGGAGAACGAAATAGCATCGACCAGTCTATGGAGTTGGTGAATAGTGGAATGAGCAGAGCGAAAGCCGAATTGAGTGTCTGGTAAAACGGAGCTGGTAGAGATGTATGGAAGAATTCTTTTAAGAATTAATCTTTCAAGAATTTTACTGAAGAACGGGAGAAGGCTTATTGGTCGAAAGAAGGAGGATAACTCCGGAGGCTTATTTGGTTTAGGAACTAGGATAGTGATAGAGAATTTCCAAAACGTGGGGAAGTAGGATAGTCTTAAACACGCATTGAATATAATTTTGAGGAGGACAATGGCTATTTTAGGGAGACATCTGGCCACATCTGCAGTTATCAGATCAAACCCCGGAGATTTTTTGAGGCTGTATTTTTGGATTGTAAATTTTACGTCGCTGGGAGAAAAATGCTTAACTGCGGGAAACATCGGAAGGGGGACGTCCAGAAAACGTTTAACTGTGTCAGTATGTAAAGGTATATGTATATCTGGGTGAGGAGTGAAAATTTCCGTTAGGTGATCTTTAAACAGTTGGGCTTTTACAGCATCTGTAGATGCGAACCCGCCGTGGGGATTTTTTATGGGAACCAGAGGAGGTTTGTATTTTAGAAGTCTTTTAGTAGCTGACCAGAGACTGCCATTTTTAAGTGTTAAATTAGTGAGATAGTTTGTAATGAATAGTTTTTTTTAATGAGTTAGAAAGATTAGATGTGTTTGTGTGATGAGAGGCGTGAACGTTGATATAAGGCCCTTGCTCTACGCTTGTTGGAAATGAGGATACGTATATGTTTAGGAACTGAAGGAGCGACGTTTTGAAACTGAGTATTTGTGGGACCAGATGCCCATGCTGCAGATTGAATTATATTTGTTAGGTTGTTAATAACTGTGTCAATTTCTTGAGGAGATTTGAGACTAACTTGGAGTTTTACGTTTTGATCTACCAAATTATGAAATTTAAGCCTGTCCGTGGAATGATGAAAAAGTTTGAGTAAGGAAGGCCGGATAGGAGGATTGACACTGATAGTCAAGAGAACTGCTGAGTGATCCGAGCAGGGTTCTAAGAGATTTGTAGTAGAGCAGAATAGGTTATAAGGAATGTTGGATTCGAAGATGTCAATTATATCTGGTTTTTTGCGTAGAGAGATGAGCCAATATGTTGGCCCAGGGGGCGCAAGGATTGTGTAGTTCTTAAGATTAATACAATTTTAGAGAACCATACCTCTTGGGTTGTTTGTGCGACAGCCCCAGCTGAGATGCTTAGCATTATAGTCACCGCCAATAATACAATTTTGGCTAAGAGTGCTAAAGTATTGTATATAGTTTTGAATAATAATGTTGTGTCTAGGAGGGGAGTAAATTACTGCTACAGTTGTAGGGATATTGTTGAGGTGCAGTAGGATAGCACAAGACTGTAAGTGTGGCTGACAGTAGTTTGGAAGGGCTTGGAAAGATAGGGAAGATTTTATATATATTGCAGCACCACCACGAGCAGTGTTATCTGGGTGATTAGTTTTCAGGAATTATCAACTCCAGGTATATCCTGATAACCAGGTATAGGAATGTGAGAATATTTTGTGAAATGTTATCGATACGTTTCTCCTATAGCACTATTTGGAGTTCGTTTAAGTGATTTTTGAAACCATTTGAATTAAATAGAAGAATAAGAAGAGAGTTGCTTGTGGATGAAGACATTAATTTTTTTCCAGGAGTTTTGAAATTACTTGGGTGAGTAGACAGATTAGTGGGTTTATAAGTAATTTAAATTCATCAAGGAATTTGTTTATGTCGGATATCGGAGGGGAGACTTTGTTATTTGAGTGAGAACCAGAGGTAACTTGAGCGTAGGTTTGGGACGCGTCTAAGGGGTGATTAACAGGGATTACCACTGAGTGACTAACCTACACATTTTTTTTATGACTGATATTATCCGACAGAAAATTGTTTTTTTTTTGGTTTATTTCGATTTTGAAGATCCTTGTATACAGAGCAGCCTTTGTAGTTAGAGGGGTGATTATCGGAGCAGAGGGCACATCTTGGAGTAGCATCCCGTGGGTTTGGACAGGCCGAAGATGAGTGGTTTGAGCCGCAGCGGACACAGCGAGCTGGATAGCCGCAGTAGGATTTAGTATGTCCGTACTCTTGACAATTGATACATTGACTTATAGTTTTGGATTTATAAGGTTCTTCAACTTTTATTTTCGTGTGGATGGGAGAAGTCAACTTATAGATATCGTTTGAATCGATCGTTGGTTCAAGGTCCACAAAAAATAGAGGGAGTTTATTGGTTTTATGTAATACGCTTGTTACTTGACGGACTTCAAATAATCGCAGCTCAAGCTCGGATTTGATAAGTGGATAAGTAATTTGGACGTGGACGGGTGGAGATTGCGAATGACAACTGGTGTAGGTTTGTCTTCTTTGAGCTGATAAGTGATATTCAGCATTTTAATTTTTGAGGAAGTGGATCAGTGTTCTGTATGAAGTTGGATTAGTTGTCATAATTTTTAGGCGGTCAGTTGAGGATTTACAAGAGAAATTATCTACACCGATTTGCTCAATAAGTTCTGAGTAAAGTGCTGGAAAACTGATTACACCTTTTACAAAAACTGGTGGGGGTAGGGCTGGCTTGATACCAACATTGATGTTCCCCTCTGGGTTTGACTCGGGAAGAGGCAGCTGAGTAGAATCTGATAAAACGGTATTCTCTGGTTCGTCTTGTGAGAGTACTTCAAATCGATTAGACGTAAAAAATATTTTTTTATTGTTTTGTTGTATTTTAGGCGAGTTTTGATCTGAAGAAGAAGAGGAGGAGAGGTTTCTTTTAGCACTATTGCTTATTGGTACCTGAGACCAGTTGGCTGATGAAGAAGAATCCATGCTGGTAGAGACTAAGTTTCCGTCTAAGCGATTCGTATTGACTGAAGTTGAGACTTTGTTTAGGTTAGCAGTCTGTATATTGCTTAGGCGAGCAGTCTGTATATTGACAGAGTCCTTAATATTGGTGGCGGCTAATTTTGATTTTATATTTTTGGATGAAGATTGAGACATAATTATTGTTGCGATAAAGTCGCGGTCGCTGCCGCTGCAGCGGTATGCGATAAGACAGCTCGCGAGCTGTTGATGACGAATACGTAATGTTGTCTATGTTAATTAACGTAGACGTTTTAGTAAAATGTATATAATAGGTACATAGACCAACATGCGAAAAAAATTTTTTATTAATTATAAATAATTTATTATTATAAACAGAGATAAGATAGTAGAGCGCACTAAACGAAGCACTACCAGTCACATCGGATGCAACTGATCGAATTTTTTTTTTAAAATTTAATAAGTATTTCTCATCATTTGAGCATCAACAAAGTTGAAACATCTATTGTCTATATTCTATTTTACCATCAAAAATTATTTTTTACCAATCCACCACACACAACACACTAGCTAGATCCTTCTTGGTTGAATACCACTCAGATCAAAAAGTTATTTATTAAACAGTGTCTAGATGCCTCACAATTACATTGATGACGACTTTAATGACATAAATTTGATTAAACATATTGCTTCCAAAAAAAATTGTTACCTATTAAAAATATTTCTTGACAATTAAGACCTTAATCTGAAAATATGTTGACATATTTCTTATATTTTGATTTGCCTCTCTATAAGTGTAACTAAATTATTAAACAAAACAATGAAATATAGATACATGTTGATAAATCAATAATTTCACTTTTGGTTTTTATCTGTGGCAATTATAATTTCTTCCTCTTAATTTTTGAAATTGTGTTTATGTGTATTTGGAGTACTTGATGTTGTTTTTTGGTAACTAAATGGATACACATAACATAAAATACAACAAAACAACATAAGTAAACTTACTAAATTTTAATAACTAGTTTATTAGAATAAAAACTGTGAAGTGGAGATGTAATATTCAATAAATAATGAAAGTACTCATCTGTCTTATTTTGACTGAATAGAAAATATGTATCTAAACCATGGATGAGTAATAATTATAATCGCAAAACCTAAATCTCACCAAAAAATTACAGTGCTTTAAACCATAGACATATTATAAAAAATATTTTTAAGATATATTATTAATATATCTATACTTGGAAATTGTTCCTGATTTCATTTTTCAGGCATTTATTGGGAACGGATCAAGAAAGGAATGTGTTCGAATTTGGTACTTTTATTGGAGGAAAGTTAATAATTTTTTTTTTTTAAATAATAAACTATATAAAATTCAATAAATATATAGAGTTATAATTATATTTTGGTGTTGACATTTTTAACATTTGTCGACTAGTTTGGAATACCTAATCAAAATATTTAAAATATATTTAAGTCTTTCTATTGAAAAGTTAATGTTAAAACTATTACAATTAATAGATAAATTAATATAGACTATAGCACCATAGATTAAATAAAGTACAATACTGTCCACATAAGTAAAAATATACTGTATCCAATATCTCAATATATAAGGCATATTTTTGAAGTATTTTTCAGAACCTAATTGTACCGTTTAAATCGTGACGAATTAATTATTAATCAAAATTCGGTGACAGTTCACTTTGATAAACGTCCATTTAAATCTAATTATCTAATCTATCTATTATGATTTAGGCTGGCCGCACACCAAAAGAGCAAAACTGCTTAAAGTTTTAATTAAGTTTTAATTAGGCAGTATTAATCAGCCTAACATAGTTTTGTTAAAAATATAACAAAAGGAATTACGCTGCATACGCACATTCATAAAACAAAAACGAAACGAAAACATTTTTGATTTAAACACCATCAGTCATGACAGATACTGTCTGAAGAGTACATTTTTCGCTAGTCACAACTAGACAAGAAATACAATTCGTATTTTTCGTGTTTCGTATACCGTATTCATTTCGAATAATTTTTATATGAACCTATACTAACATACCTAAAGACAGGATTTAATTGATATTCCAAATTATTTGGAATAAAGATAAATCAAATCTAATTAAATATACAACGGACTAAAAATATATATATATATATATATATATATAGCTTATCTACACTTGAATAATTTAAATGCTTACAAAAGGTTGAAATTAAAAATAATAATAATTTTAAACTTAATTAAATAGTATATATTTGTATCATAGTAAATATTCAAAATGTCGATTTATTATATTTCGTTTGTTCAAAATTGTGTCGGAATTATAACTCAGAATTCGCACGTTCTTTCAAATTAATCAATTTTTGTTCAAGATATCGACGTTCAAACTTCCAAATTTTTTAATTCTCCATTTTCTAATTAAAAACAATGATAAGAAATGTACAAGTTAATAATTAGTAGAGATTCAGGCGATTCGGCTGGAATACATTTAGTTGTTTTATTATAGCCTCCCGAATGCGCGGCGCGCCAGGCATACAAATCTTACCGCGTAACACCAATCAGACGGCGCGTCAACTGTACCGCGTTGTACCACTCCACGCGACGCGCAACCCCATAGGTCAATTAAATCCATGTGTGAATTAAAATTATTGCGAGTGGCACACTGCCAATTTATTATCCGTTAACCAGAATACCAGACAAATACTGCAAACTTCAAATTTTCAACCAACAAAATAAAAATTTGATAAGAGAACTAAAAACTTTAATTGTTTATTATCAATACAAATATGGGTATTATAGTATTAAGCATATAATATAAATAATATAATAATATAATTACAGTATTTTGTAATCTGAACATGTGCAATATATTTATTTGAACATTTAAATCAATCAGGAAATTTGTATTTGTATTATATTATCTAAAAAAAACTTTGTGGTAACTTGTCAATATTCTTACAAATAATCATAATTCATAGACCCATTTTGTAATTTATTAGATTATTATAATAACAATATTTTTTATAAAACTAATAAAGATAAACAATAATATACCTTACCTGTACATTAAAATAAACAGATAAAATGTTATCACCATTCACCCATATTGACCATATTCCATGACCTATGTAAGTAAACTGTTATGTAACATAATACATATCGCATATGACTAAGTGCTTTACAAGGTTAATGTACTAGTTAACACTATGATTTATCTTAGATTATTGTTAATTGTTATTCATATAAAACCTAGTTAATAAATCATCATTAATATTTTTTTGTTTTGTACAAGTTAAATATTACTATTTCAAATATTTCTCATTTTTTTTAGTGCACTAATATCACAATTACAGTTTTTGATCGATTATTTAAAGTATAATTACAATTTTATCCTTGATTATTCATTATATTACGTTTTAATACAGGCTATTATTAGTATAAGGTAGAGTTGTATTATTTTGTATCATTTAAAACTTAGGTAGTCCACTATTTTATTTATATGTAATACATTTATTGGTATTTGCTTTTAATTATTAAATAATATCTATAATAAAAAATAATCTATATTTGATTATTATGATTTAAATTGGTACATTTTTTTTTATGTTTTGCTTTAAACAAGTTATTATTAGTAAATTAATCAAAATGATTGAGATTAATATCAATATTGTTATCTTAATGACTCCATTTATTAAAAATAAATAAATTATTATTTATTTATAACCTAAACAGACAACAATTAACCCATTTATATACTAGAATAAAATGGTATTTATTTCTTATTTTTCTTGTTCCTATTCATTTCGATTATTGAAAACCATCTTAGCAAGCTATGTTCTTAGGTTTTACAGTCATGATATATTTCTCTTGCTAGATCCTCTTTTTTTCCTAGGACTTCCTAGTAATATGGATTTAAGTAAAGGGGATCTATTATATTTTCACATTTATTCTCTGGTTATATTTATTTATTATAAATCTATTTAAGTAAGGCTAACTAATCACTATTTTTAAATAACTTTTTAGTTGAATTATGTCGTGGATAACAATATCTTTATGTTTGTGTATTTATGGCGTTTTAAAAGAGTTCCGTCCATCAGAGTCTTATGTAATTCCTTATTTGTTAAGTTCACGGATGAATTTTACTGAACAACAAGTAAGAAATAATTTGCAATCATTTATGTGTAGATACTAAGAACATTTTTATTTGTGTGTTGTAATTTTATTAAATGTCAATAAAAATTAATAATTAAAAATGAGTTTTTGACAAGTTGTTTAGTAAAAAACCCAACAACTAAATTTAAAGATTTCATCATTAATTTATAAACTATAAGTATAGAATCAAAAAACATAAATCAATACAATTATTATTGAATAAAATCAATTAATTTCTTACTATGTCCCAAATTTAAAGTAAAAAATTACACATAACCAATTTTATTTACTTATATTTATGTATTTATTTTTTAATTATATGTATTATAAAACTTTTTCAAGATTAAAAAGGTAAAATAGATTAAACAAGTAAAAAACATTATCTACTTGAAAATTAAAAGTATTATTCTGAATACAACTGTAGTAACAATAAATATTGTATTTATTTTTAGGTTAATAATGTAATACTGCCCATTGGTATTTATGCTTCGATGATATCTATGATAATTGTGTCTTTAACAACTGATTTGCTAAGGTATAAAATTGTAATTGTTATTCAAGCAATGTGTGGTGTTGCTGTTTATGCAATATTATCTTTATGTACAAGTTTCATATCTGTTGTAGTAAGTATTACAATTTTAAATAAGCTTAAAGTTGTTTTAGTTTAATACTCAATAAAATATTGAATGTAAAATAATATAAACAAAAAATAAAGTTAGAAAAAATAAATATATGTTTTTAAACTGGTTTAAGCCTAGAATGCTGAAAACTGTATGTATATAAAATATATAGTGTAAGGTAGTATATACTTAAAAAATATAATAACTATTTCTATTGAATATTTTTAAGTTTTTTTAAAAAAATTATTGTTTCATCTTGGTGCTATAATTTACATATCCTCTTCTTTTAGTTAAATTTTAATGCTAAATAAAAAAAAAAAAAAGCGGTCCTACTAAAATGAGGATAGGTGTAGCTGAGAAGTTAGGAAGGCAGAAGAGGGGAAATTTAATGTATATCTGTGTGCAATAAATTAACCATTGCTAATGAAAAAACAATTTTTTGTGAAGTTCAGTTGATAGTGTTACTTTGTCAACAACATATATGTCATATTATGGTTAAATAATTACATATGCATTATACATTCAATATAGTTCCTATTTTCCTTTTTTTTCCTACGTTTTATCCCATTTATTAGGAAAACTGGGCAAATCAAAAAATGAACTTCCTAAAGTACCATCCCAATCAGATTTCCTTTCAGATAAAGTGCTATCATTGTAAATCTGAGCAAAATTTCTGGTAGAAAAAAATTAAGAACATGTTTGACAATTTTTGAAATAAGTTTTCTTAAATTACATTTCACAAAAAAGAACATATTGGTAAATTAAATATTTTCACTATTGGTTATTTAATTTTCTTTCTGACCGATTAAATTTTGAATTTCAGTTGTCCATTTTCTTTGGTTTTCTCGTCTTCTTTTTTATTTTAAAGTTCATTTAATATCTTCGGATTTCAAAAAGCCAATTTCATCTTTTAGTAAACCAATTGATTCTATATATATAAATTAGCTGGAAAGCGATGTGTGATAACATTATCTAATAAACTACAGAAATTACGACAATGCCTAGGTAATGATATAATTTTCTTACTGTATTAGAAATTGTCATAATTTCCTAAGAATTGTCATCATTCTCTAAACTGTTAAGTATTTCAGTAACATGTATATACAGAAAAATATCAAAACAAAGCTTAAATACTTGTGTGTGAATATGACTAGATTCGATTTAAAAAAAATTATCATGGGTAATATGTTTTATTACATAGAACAGGTGAAAGACACTTTTTTCTTTATAATACTTGTATATTTATTTATTTGTTTTACTTTTATACCTAAATTTATTTTTAGGACACTGTTAGTAATTCTCTCTGGACTAAATAAGTTCAAACTCAGGAAACATTTTTTTTATTAATGGGTAGGAATAAAATTTTATTTAAATTTAGCTATTTAGATGTTATTTTTAACTGTATTAACAGAAGTCTACAGCTATATTTTTTTTTTTTTTTTTTTCTTAACATTTTATATTTGTGATGTAAATTGATACTTATTAGAATAAATTATTTTTGTCTTATAACTATAATAAAATTATTTGTTTTGATTTTTAGGCAGTTGAAATTTTGTATGGCATTTTTGTAGCTACAGAAGTTGCATACTACACTTATACATATGCTGTCGTGAATGTAAAATATTACCAGAAAGTTACAAGTTACACAAGAGCAGCATTTCTTGTAGGACGTTTCTTTTCAGGGTTTATGGCTCAGATATTTATATCCACAGAACTAGTTGATACATACCAATTAAATTTTTTTACGTTAGGAAGTAAGTAGATTTATTTTAGAAATGTAGAAATGCTATTTACCAATTGCATAAATTTATTATGTATTTCAGGTTTGATGGCTGCAACAATTTGGACTTGTGTTTTACCATCTGTAAAAAAAAATGATGAATCAACATCAGAAATTCAGAAAATGAATGTAATGAGTACTACAATAGAAACTAATAATGAGTGGGAATATGATGAACCACTTGAATATACTAAAGAAGTAAAATCAATATTAAAAATAATTTTTTTCCATTCATAATTGAATATTTAGAAATATTTTAGAATAAAAAAATATCATGGAAATATATAAGGACTAGATGTAATGAATATAAAAATATATACGTTTTGAAATGGTCATTTTGGGTCATAACTGCAACCTGTTGTTTTCATCAAGTAAAAATATGAATTTACAATAATAAATAAATTATAACTTTACCAATAATATTAAATATTACTATTTTTTAGGTTACATTTTATATTCAATCTTTGTGGGAATCGTTAAGTCGTAATAAGTGTATTCATGATGTTTGTTCAACAACTTCAGAATGGAATGGAGCAGTTGATGCTGTTTACACAATAATAAGTAAATTTTAATTAATTAAATCATTTGAGATGTGGGTATCAAGTATTTTGTATCGTAGATATTGAAGTAGGTACGTAATTCTTGATATAAATTGATATAGTGAGTCATTTTTTTTTCTTCTTCACTTTCACCTTCATGTCAACTATTTGGGATTAGCCACCATCATCCCTAAACTTCCACTTAACTCTATCCCCCACATCGTTCTCACATACACCTACCATTCTCATAACATTCTCAAATGCATCTAACCACTTCTTTCGGTCGTCTTCTTCCACTCTTTCATCCTAAGTCTGTTTTCATTACAATTCTTACTGCTTTTGATTAATATACAGAATTATTCACTAAGTGTGCTTACCCCATTTTATTGATTAAATTTTGCATATATTCAAACACCAAATGTATTATGACTAATACTATTTATTGCATTTTTAATATAGGTTCTTATTCAAAAAACAATAGTTGATATCACACAGGATGCACTGACTAATGCATTGTTCTAGTTCTATTCATGTTTATTGTAGTACGTTATGGTCAATAAAAGAAAATTAAAATTAGAAATTACCTTGACATACAAAATGACTACAACTCAACTAGTAGATAAGCTAAAGTAACTGATTGATTTTTTCATAAATGTTAATTTTTAAAATGTATTTAATTAAGTACAATTTCTCCTTCTAAATATTGGACACCTCTGTAAAGCAAACAGAATATTAGCTACTAAGATTATAATTAATTCAATTGTATGGATCATATTTTTTATAGTGCGTACAACATTAACCAAATTATTTATTTAAAAATAATAATAAATGAAATCTGATTGAAATTTTAAGTTACAAGGTTTTGACGTTAGCTGTCAATATGCAAAATTTAACCAAAAACGTTGGGTGAGTATGCTCAGTGAATCATCCTGTATATTGAGTAATAGGTATATGAAATATTTAATGACTTTTTTTTATTAGTATTGACTGTAAATCATATAAGAAGTTAATATAAGTTTAAATACTTAAATTATGTTAACTCATAATTGTGTAATCACTATGAAAAGATATTTAATGAAATTATATTTTATTTATAAAACTTGAATCAAAAATAAAAATAAAAATTGAATTAACATTTTATATTTCTTATTTACATAAATAATTGTAATTTATTTTTATAGTGTTATTAAATGTATAAGCAAATATGAAGAAGACAAATAATTTATCGATTTGGTGTTAGGTACAATTGTTACATTTACATGCGGATCAATAAAATTGAATATGACTAAATATAGCAATGTACTTATCATGATCACTTCGGTTCTTCAGTGTGTGAGCCTATATACTTCAACTATATACAACACAATTTATATATCTTACATCAATTACATTATTTACTGCACAATTTATCAAGGAATGATGACTATTGCTAGGTGAGTTATAAATAAAATAAATCATTAATTTTAATGTTTGTCATACCCAGGATTGATTAAAAATAAGAAATGTTGCAATAGTAAATAATTAAAATGCGTCTTCAATATTTTTACATGAATAAAATTGTGTTCGTGTTGTGATTTAGCTCATTACATATTTTTTTTCCAATTAATAATATTCTCTGATAAACTATAAAGAACCATGTTGCATATAAGTTCAATGGAAATTGCAGGAAAAAAGTTAGCACTATTATATGATTATTTGAACGTCTTCGTATGAACTTATTTAGTAACTATTTTTTAATACATTTTTCGTTTGTAAATAAGGACCTGTTGTCCAAAAAATACTTTGTTGTAATTACACTACTTTAAAAATATAAAACAAATATGTTTTACTTTGTATATCCAAATTTGTTCATAATTTTGATTTTGTTGTCGATGTTGTTTAGATATTTTGTTTATATGATGTTGAATAACTAATTTTCATTTTGTCAAGTACTTTAATTCAAATTACTACTGCCACATGTGTTAGACTAGTTGTCTATGAAAGATTCAGAGCGGAGAATTCAATAAAACAAAAGATTAATATTAGAATTCAGATTAATTAAAAATACTAAGGTTCTACAAAAACTACAGTTGTACTAAACAATTTACTGCCTTCTCAATTGAATACAATAGCACTGGCAAAAAAAAATTGGTACCATTAAATTTCCTATTGCCACATTGTATTGTTTACATTATGCTTGTTTATATTATACATATACAATGTATATACTTATAGTAAGAATAAGTGTATATTAATAAATTATATTGAACAAAATATATATATGTAATTTAGATATAAGTTGGGTTATGTTTAAATGATTTGACATTTTGTGTATTTTACAATTTCATTAAAATTTAAAAGTTAAATGCTTAAAAAAAAAAACAAATACCTACATTACATTCAACTTTTCTTGATCACAAAGTGCAATTTATTTTAAACCTCCTGTTAAATTCCTGAGAATTTTCATTGAATCAATACAATTTTATCCGTATTTAACTAAATAAAAATTAAAAATATATGGACATACATCACACAATGGGTGGGCCATTTTTGTAGGTGGTTGTAAAGGTAGGATATAGAGGGGAATTTCATGTATATCTGTATGCAATGATTAATCTTTGCTAACGAAAAATAATACTGAATAAAATTTGGTTGCACATGTTTTAAAAGGCCGTAATATTTACGATTTGAAAATAATATATTTTGTATATTTTCCTGTTTTTCCTAACTATTTTCCCAGTTTTTCTCATTTATTATGAAAACTCCTGGGAAAATCGAAAAATTACCTTCTTAAAGTACCTCCCCAGATCTAACCTGTTTTAGAAAAATTGTATATATATCCTTGTGAACAAATACATTCTTTGCTCCACTCAGAATCTAAAATACTCAAAAATTACAAATGGCTGTTATTAGCCAAAATGTTTTGAAATGGCTAATATAAGTATTAGTATTAGTATTCAGTTTAAATTTCCAGATCTGTTTTTAACTGAATTGTACTACAAATCAAAAATAATAGAAACCATTCTTGGATACATTTTTTTCCGTTTTTCCCAATTATTAGAAAATAGATAACTAAAAATTGACTTCCATAATGCACCAACCAGACATGTCACCAAAGAGGGGGGGATTCGTGAATTGAAATTTGCTTTGGAATAGGTTTCTTGTAAACAAATTGTTCACAAATTAAAAAAAATATGTATTAAATACCATCACATTTTTCGCTTTGCTTAAAATCGGAAAAAAGTTGATAATTTTTGACAGTTTTATGGTTAAAACTAAAATATTATTCCAGGTATTTATTACTAGTGAATACATTAAATTTGTTATATATAATATAAATTGTTTCAAAGACTAAGATTATTTACCTACATTTGTTTTATACAGAATTAAATGGTTAAAGTAAAAAGAATTAGTAATTGAATTTATATTATGTAAGTGTATGAAGCATGTTCGCTTGGTGAATAAAATATTTTAACGGAATTAAAAATTTAAAACAAACCTTTGGAAGATTATAACAATTCTTGTGGTGTCTTCTGGATAATGCTAATAGGCTAAGTCACAACTATAACACAAGCCACTTAATGTATACAAATATTAGGGTAGCAATTCATCTAATACTGTTATAGAAATTAAAACTCAATTATTTTTTAATTTTGTGATACAGCTCAGAAATAGCGAAGTGTGTCAATAAAGATAAACATGGATTTGTATTTGGTGTAAATAATTTGTTAGCTGTAACTTTACAATCTTTAGCTACATTTTTCATGAATATGTATAGCTTGTCTATATCCTCTATTGTTTGGGTAAATACATAGTTTAAGTTTAATCAATTTTGTAAATTATTAACGATATGTATATTTGTTTTTCTAGTTTCAATTATGTGCCATATTTTGCTTATTAATTGGGGTATTTTATTTATTTATCACAATTAAACAACTTGTCAAGAAGTAATTTGGAAGATCACAAATGTATAATATATATCCTTTATATATTTACATTAGGATTGTCCATATCATATAGATGGGCAATTTTTCTTTCCATTTTTGAACAAGCTACTCTCAGAATTTGTTTAAAACTATAAAGAAATAATTTCTGTTAAATTGCATGAACATTGGTCAGTCCCAAAGCTGGACAAGTAACTCAACTTAAGTAACTAAGTAAATTTTTTTTACAATTTTGAAAAATTAATATGTATAATAGGCAAAAAGGTCAAAAATAAATTATTGTTTAAATTAAATTAACTGTATTAATTAACTCCTCTACCCACAAAATACCAACAAACTTTTCATATTTTAAAATATAAATGAATTATGAAATGAAAAAACCATAAACAACAATTTTATAAAAAAATTTATTATGACATACATATTTTAAGTGTTATATATATATTTTAATCCATAATTTCAAAAATTGGAGAGCACCCTTTTTTGAACTTAAACTCTCTTGATGCATATCTTAGGACTGACTAATTATTATGAAATTGTACACAATTTATTTCATATAGTTTTGAACAAATTCCCGGGGGAATCTAATCAAATTTAAAGAAATAATGTAAGAACCCATCTAATTTACATCAATCATGTATTTTATTATAAAACCACTGCCACAAAATACAAATTTAATAAAATTATTTTCATATATGTAATTCATTTATAGGATATAATTTTTGTTTGTCAATAATAGATTAGAATTAATAAAATTGATTTTTTAATTATTGAAATACCATTAACAGCTTCTAGTACTTTATTTCTCCAAAACTGATAACTTTTAAAACTTTTAATAAATTTTAAAATATGTCCTTTAAGGTAAATGTTACATAATATTTATTATTTTTATGTGCCTAGAATATAACTACAAATAATAATCAATATAAAATAAATTGTATTGCATTGAATATTTTTTCTATTTTACTAACTTTATATCTAGTAATAATATATATCCAAAAAAACATCAAGTTCTACTGTATGCTATAATAAAATTATTTTATTGTTAAAATATATAGATTCTTTATATAATTATATTTATTTATTTGTTTGTTTGTAAATTACTGTTTAGATTATATGTTTACTTTTTGACACAGGGCTAAGCCCGTGAAATAAAATAATTGTGATGACAGACAAATGGCAGATTGTTACTTCATTTATGTTAATAAAATTATATATAAAATCTAGTAATTTAGGATCTATTTTTAAAGTTTGTCTTTCAACATGTATTAAATTTGTTTTTATTTGTTTAGTGAACTTACACTTATTGTTTCTGGTGTATCATCTAATCTGACTTTACCTAAGTTCAAATACTGTCCATATCCGAAATGTAATATTGAATCAGTATTTTTCTAAACTCAAACTAGACTTTCTGAGGTATATTTTACTGAAAATTAACATATTGCTATTTGAATGAAATTGTTGGACTAAATCATCTATTTAATCAAAGTATTTTATAAAACTTTTTTACATAATATTATAAAACAGATATTTTCGATTGTACTAATTATTATTAATGATATGGTATAAAGTATTTTAAAACAATTCTTCATAATTTCATTCATTCATATATTAAAATTTTAATATTAATGGGAATAAAAAAAACATTTAAATCAAATTGTAATCACTAATCAAAAAATTGATTCCAATAGGAAAAATATTATACATATTCAGCCATATTAGATCATTTTTACTGTTGTTGATTGGCATTGATCAATTTAAATATTGAAAAATAAATGTTGTTATGAATATTGTTTAGCCATAATCATTTTTAATATAAACAACATGAATTATACATTAATAGTATGGTGAACTTCTAGCACTTTTATTTACACCAATTTTATTGAAAATCTGCAGATATATTTATAGCTAAAACAAATTGTTTAGTGAAAAGCGCATTCCAAAATGTATAATTGTTTGAGAGATGGAGCAAATACGGATGGACAAACAATACCTATTATAAAGTAGCTTACTCAACTTAATAAAATATATCATTGAAATTATTATGATATATAAAGAATACAAAAAATAATTGAATAATGCTATGTTGACAAATACAATTTTCTTTCTCATTTATGCTGTTTTGACATTTGTATTTTCAAAGGTAATTTATTTTCATACATTATGGAAATGTATTTATTATTATTAGAACAATCACAGTAAAGAAATATTTATAAAGTTCATATTCCAATTGATTAACTACTAAAAATATGTGTTAAATATTATTAAGTAGTAATAATTAAGAAAAATAAATTAGGTAAAAGATCAGCATAATGTTATCTGAATATGTTTATAAAACTTAAAAAATTTGAATATTATAAGTATTAAATTACTTTCAATATTTCCTATTAGGTAACATAGGTTTGAATCACTTACAATGGTGTCAATTAGGTAACACAAGTATTTAATATTTTAGTATAAAATAGCAAAACTGTCTTATAGAACATTAATAATAACGACTGAATTACCTACTATTCTTAAACTGAATTTTTCTTTCGTTTTCAGTTTTATACTGTAGAAATTAAACTAATATCTAAGTGAATTTATGCGAACTAAAATATTTAGTTTATTATTATTATTCTAAAATAAATGTATTAAAGTAACACTAAAAGCTAATCACCACCTATTTTTAACAGGGTAATAAGTTTACTTCAATCATTATGTGAATGTATTTATGGTATTTTAAGAGTTTAGTCTATTAGAATTGTATATGATTTCTTATTAATCAGCTTCACAGGTAAATTTCATCGAAGAACAAGTAAAAAAATGATAGTTAGAAGCTGGTTCCTACTAACAACATTTAATTTTTTTATATTGTACAATTTGTACTTGTATACAAATCTGTTTAAAAGAAAAATGAACAAATAACTAAATTTATAAACATGGTTATGATATGGTTATGAGTTAATTAACATGTTTGTTGTTTTCACCTATCACTTGTAAGCTATAGAACAATAAAATTGCTGTGTTGTCTGAAAAATCAAAGTATTACATAATTTGTTTTATTAATGATTTAAGTATATCATAAAATTATTTTACTTTAAAGATTAACAATAAAAAGTAGATTAAACAAATTCAAAAATAAAATTCTATTTGGTGATGATAATATTTTAAAATAAATACCTAATTTTTACATTCGGTACCTACCTACATTCCAAAATATTTAGGTTAACAATGACATAAACATTTTTGATTTGATGATATCTAATACTATAAATTATTTTTATTCAAGTATTTGTGTGTATGTTTTAGTGTCTTTATATACAGGTTTTACATCTATTGCAACCACTAGCTAGTAAGTAGGTATTTTATTATTCTATTTTATTTATTATATTTTATGAAATACACTATTTAAGCATGTGGTAAAACCAATAAAACGGTATACATTTGTTTTACCTACTACAGGCTTTACTGATGATCATGACTTGGGATTTTATGCACTTAAAATCCACAAAAAAAGTTATCAAAAAAGCCTAAAAAACACATTAAAAAACAAAAAATTGTAATATGTTTTTGTAAAGTCCCCTCATAACGTCTGTAACTTTTCGAGCACTACAAAAATAATTAATTTGTGTTTTCAAATAAAATTGGAAGTATTTTAAAAAAAAATATCTTTTGTTAATCTTTTTTGTAGTGTTAGGAAATTGCATTTAATGGTTAGAGTCGTTATGGTCAGGTGAGCAATTTTAAACCTTCAGTCATATTTTATTTTTTTTTGATGCTCTTGGCATTTTTAAACGCTTTTTTGTGGATTTTAAATACATAAAGTCCCAAATCCTACTGATGATACTTTTAAATATTTTTAAAAATTAGTTGAAAACCAACACTTTCAATATGTATTATTATTCTTATTTATACTTTTATTATTTTTATTATTATTTATTGACTATATATTATTTCTGGATATTCTTGTAGAAGGATCCTATGTTTAATGGGTTCTAATTTTGTTAAGTAATTGTTTTTCCTAATAACCATTTTGAATAAACTTACCTAACAGTTCAAGATAAAATTGGCAATTTAAAAATAAAAATTATGAGAATGAAATTGTTCAGCAAATTTTATGAGATATAAATAGATTACTAATTAATACAGGTTAGCTAAATATATTAAGAAAAAGTGCATTTATTCAAATATATTAAATTAACCAATTATAAATTAACATCAGTATTATATCATTATGACAACTCATAACTCAAGTTTATAAAACATTTACAAAACTATATTTAATAATGTAAACAACTAAATTATGAAACATGTAACAGATTGAAATGTATTTTTGCTTTTTAAAACATTTAATTTATTAATATTTGTAAATAATATTTTCTATATTTTTGTAGTAGAGCTAGTTCAACCATGTCATGGATAACAATATCTTTTTGTTTGGGTATTTATGGTGTTTTAAAAGAGTTTCGTCCATCAGAGTCGTATGTAGTTCCTTATTTATTAGGTCCACGGATGAATTTTACTGAAGAACAAGTAAGAAGTTATTTGTAATTGAGTACTTATATTATTGACCCCGATAAACCATGATTATAAACCCTAGATATAAAACTAATATAAACATTGTTTTGAATAGTAATATACAACTTTTGGATCTCCATGTACATTTATAATAGGTTCTAATATAATATGTAAACAATTGTACATTAATTCATACAATTTTAAAAGTGTAAAGAACTTAAATGTTTCTTATATAATATTGATTTTGGTATTGTTTACATCATTAATAATTTTGATATATTTTATTGCTTATGTCTTATGAACTCAACTCTCCCATCATAAGCTTTGCTTACAAGGAGTGTTGCCTATTTTATATAATTTTGTTTATAGTATGTATACTGATTTTGCATATAAATAAATAAATACTAAGAACATTTAAAATTTTGAGTTGTTACATTTGTATCTGTAACTAGATTAAAAAACAAAATTAACAAATGTCTAAATGAGCAAAAAAAAAAAAACAATATTTAAAAGTAAATGTTATTTAACAATTATGAGAAAATAAGCATATTTGTTGTTTTCATCTATCATTTACAAACTATATAGGTAGTTCTTATACCATAAATAGAATTATAAAATGACTAAAATGTACAGAATTTGTCTATGGTTCAATCAATAAGTATTCAGAAATAAAACACTGAAATATCTTTTATATTAACTCAATAACAAAATATTATGTTAAAATTTTAATTTTCAGGTTAACAATGAAATACTTCCCATTGGTATTTATGCATCAATGATATCTATGATATTTGTGGCTTTAACAACTGATTGGCTCAGGTATAAAATTGTAATGGTTATACAAGCATTGTGTGGTGTTGGTGTTTATGCTCTATTATCTTTATGTACAAGTTTTACATCTATTGTAGTAAGTACTAAGTTTTATAGTTTTTTTTTTTTTATATTTTAGAGAGGAGCGAGGAATGTATTAGTTATATAATGATGTTTAATTTTTTTTTTTCTGTGGACAACTTCTATCAGCAATTTTGCTCAGATTCATAATGATAGCCCTTTTTTTTAAAAAGAAAATCTTTCTGGGGAGGTACTTAAGAGAAGTCATTTTTTGATTTTCCCAAAAGTTTTCCCAATAAATAAGAAAACGTAAGAAAATAAGTACGATGTTAAACAAATATGATTAAAGAAAATATATAATGCATATGTAATAACTTTAACATAATATGACATAATAACACAATATGACAAAGCAACACAATCAACCAAACTTCGCTTAAAATCATCTTTTCGTTATCAATAGTTAATTGTTACGTACAGTTATACATTAAATTTCTTCTCTATTACCATTCTAACTTCTCCCTTACTACAGTTGCCCATCCGCATATGAAGTATGTCAGTATTTTTTAATATACACAGTGAATATTATGAATTGGGTATCTAAGATTCTGCTCAAAACAATCGATGTGGAGTTGCAAAAAAAAAAAATATAGTCAACTTTAAAATACATTTTTTTATTTAAACTTTTTAAATTTAGTATAATATATAATTAGAAATTGTAATTATATTAAATATTTATACATTTCAGCTGATGTGATTTCATGATTTGTGTAAAACGTCTCAAACATAAATTTGAAACATTTTGTTTAATGCACTTTCTAAACATGAATCAATGTTTTTGTTTCTTTTTTTTTAATAATTAAATATTTGTTATAAACTTAACTATTGTATCTGTGTATGAAATTATGTCTGATTTTCAACTATAATTATTCTTATACATTTTCAGGTAGTTGAAATTTTATATGGAATTTTTGATGCTACAGAAGTTGCATACAGCACATATATTTATTCTGTTGTCAATGTAAAATATTACCAAAAAGTTACAAGTTACACAAGAGCTGCATTTCTTATAGGACGTTTCTTTTCAGGGTTTCTGGCTCAGATATTTATTTCCACAAAACTAGTTGATACATACCAATTAAATTTTCTTACATTAGGAAGTATGTGGGTTTATTTTAGAAATATAGCTATTTACCAATTGCATACATCTATTATGTATTTCAGGTCTGATGGCTGCAACAATTTGGGCTTTAGTTTTACCATCTATAAAAAACAATAAACTAACATCAGAAAACTACAATATGAAAGTAACAAGTCCTAAAACAGTAACTCAAAATGTACATGAACATGATGTATCAATGGAGAAAAATATAGAAGTAAACAAATTAAACATTATTAAAGAATACTTTTTTGTTTATTAGTTCTTTTAAAGTTTAATATTTAGTTATGTTTTAGAATAAACACATTACATGGAAATATATCAGGTCTATGTGCAATGAATATACAAATATGTATGTTTTAAAGTGGTCATTTTGGGTCATAACTTCAACCTGTTGTTTTCAGCAAGTAAACATATTAACCAAAAATAATAATAATATATAGATAAAATTTAATTTTATCAATAATTTTAAATATTATTCATTTTTAGGTAACAAATTATATTCAATCTTTGTGGGAATCACTAAGTTGTAATGATTGTCCTCATAGTGTTTGTAAATCAACTTCTGAATGGAATGGTGCTGTTGATGCTGTGTATACAATAATAAGTAACTTTGAAATTATTTAATTATTTAAAATGTAACAAAAATACTCTGTACCATAGATTGTACATACTTGGTTTGCTATGACTGTCACTATATTTCTAACAAAGAGAGTTTTCTACCATCATTATTACTATTTTTGACTTAAAATAGAAAATATTTTGATACTTCCTATTTATGAATAAGTACCAAAAATTTATTTACAGTTTGTAAATTACATATTTTATTTTGACTATAAACTAAAAGTAAAGCAATAATATAAAATTATTTAAAAATCCATTTAATTTTGTTAATAAGTAGCAAAATGGGCACTGTTTTTCTATGAAAAATGTAGTGTTAACACACTATACACAGAATACAAAAAAGTAATGCTAGTGCGCTACAGTAGAATCACTACAAATAATGCGCTACTTACAGCCATTAGATATAAGTAATACCAGTGGGGGGAGGGGCCTGCACAAGCGCGGGGCTCCGCAAATTATGTATTCCGAATATCACTTTATCTTTAAATAATCATAATAATATTGTCCCAATAGTAAGTAAATTTTGATCCATAAGCTGCATGGCAGTATGGTTTTCTTAGGACATAGGTTGTTATCGATGAAAATCAATGTGGTAACAATTATACATAGCTAATAAAAATATCGATTAATATAATGCTATTTGAACCTGTAGTTATTTTGTTCCTAATATAAAAATACAAATTTGATTTTATTAGTTTATATGTAGGTATACAAATTTAGATTTCTAACAAGACTTTAAAGTTTATAAAATTATATGAAAATAAAGTAAGTTCATTAGAAAATTAAATAAACATATATGACACCCCACAAAATTCTGCACCGGGCCTCGAAATCTATCAAAGCAGCACTGAGTAATACATCATATTATTAGATAGATTAATTCTGGTAACATCTCATAAATTTAATTAAAGTTAAAAAACCTAAAACATTTAATTCTAAATTCATAGAAATATACTCTACATAATATGTATATAAATGTATTTATAGAAATCAAATTTGTTTTGTTACGAAATTATATTTATAATAAAAAAAGACAGGCATACTTCGAAAGTGGGTGCAGCCACTGTTGTAGGTGGGAAATTGAGAAGGTAGGTAGAATGCATATGGGAATTTAAGCAACGATAAACCATTGCTAACGAAAAGGTGTTGCTTTTCAACAATATACATGTTATTTTGAGGAAAAATAATACATATGTATTAAACATTTTCAATGATATTTGATAATATTGTACTTATTTTCCCATTTTTTTATAATAGATTAATATATTCATTCAAATTTTTAGAATAATATATTTTACAAAATTGTTATTTTGAAATTTTCAAAAGTGAAAAAATAGTTATGTTTTCCAAAATTCTTTTCCTCTATATTTGTGTCTCTAGCACAAAACTCAATTGAAAAAAAAATGAATATTGACAATTACTAACATTTGGATAACACTGTAGAACACCTTGTATACTAATTAATACTGATAAATTTTTGATTTAATTTTAGGTACATTTGTCACATTTTTTTGTGGGTCAATAAAGTTCAATTTAAATAAATATGGCAATACACTTATTGTAATAACATCTATTATTCATTTTATTAGCCTTCTTACTTCAGCTGTATGCAGTTCAATTTATTTGGCTTACATAAATTATATAATTTATTGTACAATTTTTCAAGGAATGTTGACTATTGCCAGGTCAGATATAAAAAAAAAATAATTCTCAAATGTTGTATTTAAAATATTAATAGAGAATAAATTAAAAATTATTTTTTTATTTTGTATTGCAGTTCTGAAATAGCAAAGTCTGTCAATAGAGATAAGCATGGATTTGTATTTGGTGTAAATACCTTATTGGCTACAACTTTACAATCATTAGCTGTATTTTTTATGAATACAATTGGCTGGTCTTCATCCCCTAAAATATCGGTAAATTCATGATTTCTCAAAAGTTTAAATCCAATCAGTTTGTACATTAAAAATAATGATTTTTTTTTTTTTTGTAGTTTCAATATTATGCCATATTTTGTCTGTTGATTGGGATGTGTTATCTATTCATCACAACTAGACAACTATTTAAAAAGTAATTTAAACAAATATATAGGTGTACAATATATATATTTCCTTAATATATTTACATCAATTATGTATTTAAATTATAACTTCACTATTATTCTTAATCAAAAAATATAACAACTTAAATTATTTTATATGAAATTTATCTACAGGTACTAAATTATTAAGTCACTAGATACTGTTCTTAACTTTTTTATAATTTGTATTTTAAATTGTAACTTTATTAGAATCATAATAATATACAGACTAGTCCCTCAATGATTACTCCTTGAATATCTCCAAAGATAATAAAAATAAACAAATTCTGTTTTTTTTTTTTATATTACTCACAGAGATGAGAACTACAAATATTTACATTGATAATAAACTCTATAGTTTATAATGCACCAGAGGAAATCCAGTTTCTTTTACGTTATTTATTTTGAGTTACAGCACATTCACACATTAAATGAAACTAAGTCAAATTTAATCTAAAATTGCATTCCATCTTTGGATATGCCTAAATTTTTGTCCAGGTTTAAATCCAGACAGTTTCAAAATCTCGACAACGTCTAAATCAGAGACATATCAATATTAATATAATATATAAAATAATTAAAATATGTTTATATGTATATACTCTAAAACCACTGATTAAAATCTAATCAAAATATTGTTTAGCCTCCCATATTCACGGTTATAGTGGTTATAGTTACATTTAGAAAAATTGGTACCTGGCTTTATAAATCTCTATCTTTATTTGAAACAATATTCGCTATCAGTTTTTCCAACTCAAAACGTTCTGTTCCTACACTAAAATCTATGTTTTGAATTATTATTATTAATCGTAATAGTATTCGTATTTCATAGATGAGGGAAGATGTCAGTGATATTCAAGAAATATCTAATATAAATAATACTTTATATATATATATATAAACAATAGTTTGTTTAATATAGCTCTGGCAGAATTTACAAATTTCTTTTCCATTTTTATTAAACCAGAATAATGTCTTTAATATAGTATTTATATTCTATTTTATCATGATTAGGTCTCAAAATATGGGATCAGAACCATTAGGTACATACTCTGATTTAAATCTATGATTTCATTAATCGTTAAATTTGATATACTTAATTCATTAATTTGCTATGCTGCCATTTCTCTGTTAAATTTTCAAATATTTAAATGGATACAAATAAAACAAAAAAATCTAATAATGATTGGTGTGCTATTAACCACTGTTATAGATGAGATGGTAAGTTACATAAAGTAATTTAATTTAAATATCTTCTTATTGGATTTTTTTTATGTATTTAAAGAAAATTAAAAATAAACAATTTCTTTTTTGCTATTTTCCATGTTTTTATAACTTACTTTAAGATTTGTTAGGTTATTTTATAGCACATATTTCAGTTGCTTTCATTACTATAAAATCCTAGCTGTCTATAATTAACCCAAATTTAAATTTTCAATTTGTGTTTCATCAAACCATTTTATCTACATTTCCACAGAATACCAACAAAATACAAATTTATGAATTAAAATGTCTATAAATAGCTCAAAAATGACCAAAATGATTTAAATTTTTTATCACATCTAGAAAAGTTTTATCCAAGTATACTATAGAAATTCCAGCTTTCTACAACAATTTTGCAATTTTTGTACTTATGTACAATATAAAAAAAAGTCAAAATCAAAAATGATACCATTAATATTGTAAACTTTCCTGTATTTCCTACCTTTTTTCTAAATTATGAAAACTAATTCGAAAATCAAATACTTTTACACGTTTACAAAATTACAGAACTTCTACTAAATAACTAGATCTAAAATGCAACAATAAAAGTGTCTTGGAATTTTTAAATTATAACAAACATAATTCGTAAAAATTTAAAAAAAATTTAAATTTTACACCATAAATTTGTTTTCATTTTAGAGTTTAGAGTTGAGTTTCATTTTACATCTTTTCCTCAAATATTATGAAAAATCAAAAAATGACCTCTCCAATATTCCAACTTGGTCTAAAATACTAGAAGTCTTGTTGATGATTTGTTGTCTCTGATTATATTCTGGTAGGAAAATTGTTGTTTACACTAAAAAAAAATCCTTTATAGTAAAACCAATAAATCCTTCATCGTTACTCTCAGAATTTTAAATGGTGGACACAAGACACAGTCTGTTTAGCATAAATATTACAGTTACTTGATCAGCAAAAACTTCAATTAATTTAAGTTTTTCAACATTAAGGAACAGTACAAAATTTATACTATGCAGTTGACATTCAGCTTTAGAAAGCTACAAAAAGCAAATCAATCAAACCAATTTTCTAGTTAAACTAAAGTAAATTTTATTTTACCATTACATTGAAGTATGTTTTAAAACAAATATATATGTTTCAGAGAGAAAAAGTACATTCCAAATAATTTTTTAATTATTAAACAAAACTTATACTACATTATTGAATCCACTTCTGATCGGTCTTTTTATAATAATTATTTAAATGTCCACTTTATGAGCATTGTATAAGGTTCCATAACCAGGTTTTAGATAAAATAATAAAGTGGACAAGGTGAATTCATCAAAATCGCTTAGAATTCTTAACAAGGACGTAGGCATTATTTTAGTGAATTATATAAATTAGTTGATCATTTATAACAATATTTTATTATACTATAGAATAATTAATATTTGTAAGTTATTTGGAGAATTATCAAAAGCTTTTAATAAAAACGATTTTGATCAATCAAAAGTGTTATTGTAAAAACTAAGTATTTTTAACACTACTAGAATATCTAAGAAAAAGAGATGAAAAAAACATACAATACCTATATCTATTTAATTGGGAGTTTAAACAATAAAAAAAGTTTTGAACATATATTTAAACATTATTCATTTTTACAAATAGACAAATCTGACAATATATAATGAAAAATATGTTTATTTTAATAATTAAAAAAAGAAGAAAATATACTAAAAATATGTTTAAAATATTTTTTGTGAAATTGATAAATTGAGAACAGCAAGTTGGTTGGTCCATTTATCAATAGCTGCATACCGATTGGTTGAAGAATCGATCAAAGTTAAAGTTAACACTTGATTTGTCTGATCAATACGGCCTTTTATAGTGCTATAATAATATAAAGATAAATAGATTTTATACATTATTTTATAATTACATACCTGCTATCCCACTAAGATATACCCTTTAAATATTTTCAAAAATAATAAAGATAATCAAATTGTTTTTTTTTATATATATTTTACTCACTAGGATGAGGCTACAAATATTTATATTTGAATTGAATCTTTATTATTTTCAAAAAATTTGAATGTATTATACATTTATATACAATGAACAGTTTCTAGGTAACAGCCATTTTAAAAATTTAATTCAAAAATCTAAATTTGTAGTTTTATCTCTGTTAGTAATATAAAAAATTTAGAATTTGATTATCTTTATTATCTCTAGGGATATTCAAGTGGTATATCTTTGTGAGACAGTCTGTATATAACATAAAAGAAATAGTATAGACATATAACATTATATACAAATAAATACATGAATTTAACTTTAATTAATAATACTAACTTATCTAAAATACAAGTAACCAAAAGATTTTCAACATCACTTTCTTCAATATTGAGTTCTTTTGCAATAAATGGAATATGAACGCACGTATATGGTTTAATCAATTTAATCAATACTTGAGTACGAATATTACTTAGCAAGGCTGAAAATTAAAATTTACAAATTTAGAAGAAAATATTATAAAGTATGAAGTCAAATTACATTCAATGTGCTCTCTAATAAATGGATCATCCATAATATTTTGCCGATGATTTTTTAAAATAGTTTCAAATTCCTTGATATCATCATTCTGGTAAGCTTGGACTAAGTTTGTCATTGCTAATATTTCTGGATCGTTTTTATAAGGTTTAGCTTCTTGAGAATCAAATGGATTAATACCGGATTTCATTAACCTTTAGCATTACAATAAATAATAATAATTAATATGAATATGCTACTTATAAAATAATAATTACATGTTCGCTAAAACTAAATATTTTAAGCATGTTGTTCGACGTGGACTTCCAGATTCATCATAGTTTTTAAAAGCTTCAAAAAAATCAGTATGAGCTTTAGAAAAATGGCCTTCCTCTAAATGCATCTTACCGCCACATTCTATAAATTATAAATTAATTATAAGAGACAAAATCTAAAATTAATTCTATTTCACTTACCTCGAATAACACCCATAATCAAAGGATGTGGGATAGCAGATTTTATATGAAGTGACTGTTCATAGAGTTCTTTTAATTTTTTATTATTTTTTTGTGCTGTATACATTTGTATTTCTAAAGCATAGATTTCTAAGAGTTGGGTACCTTTTTTAAGATCATCTTCACCATTATCTGTCTGCAGATTAAGTGTACAAATAATTAATACATACTTTTGAATATTTACTATAAAATAATGAAATAAACATTTATAAAAATAAAAAAATCCATGTTAAACATACAACATATTTATTATATTGCAAATTTTCATTATTATTAATATTATTTATTAATTAATTGCAATAATTGTATCTTACTTGACAGGAAGCATGTAGCTGCTTCAGAATTTTTGTCAGTTTAATATAATCGGCCAAATCGAAATACAATTTTCCCAATTTTGTATTGGTTTTAAACCAAAGTCTATCATTTTTAGCATCTTTCAATGCATCCAATGTTGTTTCATAAAAGTTTTGTAACAAATCCATCTACAATATACATTTAAAATATTATATCCATATATAAAATTAATATAAAATTTTAGTGATAAATGTTTACACTTGAAACTTACATTTTTTGATGTTGAAATGTAATCCAAAATAGAATTTATAGATTTTTCACTATGGTTTCGAGTAACTGCAGTTTTTATATATGTTAATAATTGTTTATAGCGATTCATCATTTCATCAAAGTTATTCTAAGGATAAAAAATCAAATTAAAAACATTTACAATAAATTAAATATTACCTATCACACCTCTTCTTAAAAAAGGGACGCATCTCAAAAATGATGATTTACAAGTATTAATAAATATCAAGTTAAATGGATATTACAGTTTTATTGTGTAGTTGTGGCAAGTCTATTTCAATTTTTAACTGCAGGACGATGCAAAAGTTACTTTTAATTAATATAATAACAGCCATAAAATATAAATAATAATATGGTAATGAAAAATTGCATGTCTTGAGATGTCACTTATTAAGATGAATGCAATATATATTGTACTTTTTTTTTTAAATATGTAGAATTTTATTTTCAAGGCATGCTAACTGATAGGTAACATAAATGAAGGGGCAAAAAGTAATATTACTTTAAATTAAATATAGTCATTAATAGTTGCAAATTTAACACATTTCAGTTTTCGTGTTTTGAAATAAACAAGGGTGAAAAAAATATTATATCAAGTAAATTGTATTGTTTATTATTATTTAAAAATCAAATACAATACAAATAATAATTTTTACTTACCAGACGAAAATTGATTTTAATCATTTGTTTTAGAGCTTTGAAACCCCATTCTCCTTTTTCTCCGCCTTCAAGATCTAACACTTTCTGAAAAGACACCAAGGAAGTATTTGGATCCTTTTCTTTTAAGGATTTTGAATTGTAATATTGATTTTCCAAATCAACATCAGGTTCAGAATTACTATCTTCTGAATATTCCTATTTAAATAAATTTTGAATTTATTATATGAACAAAAGTTTATACATACAAAGTGATTCATTTATAAATCAACAATTTTCTGAGAGAATTGAAGTGAATTTGATTAGTTTTTTTTTTTTATTTTAATCATAAAATTGTTTAAATTTCAATCAACCCTATTTTAAATTGTATACCCCTACTTATAAGTATCTTAAATAAGTATACATATTTTATTTGCTAATAGGAATCCCCCTTTTTAAATATAGATTCTAATAGAAACTATTTTTAATTATTTAAGTTATAATTTTCTCTTCCAGAAAAATTATATTATTAAGATCTAATCAGAATTGAGTATTCAATTTCAATATTTTGTGAAATGCGAGTGGTAGCCAATAAGATTTGTATCTACTACCAATTGGTGGGTTTGATCTTTTAAATATTTTTAGGAAGATATTTGAATAAAATACCACAATATGTATGTTAAAAGGAGACTAAGCAAATTTTTAAAATAAGATTTCAATACAAGTTATAAATTTAAATTAAAATATTAAATATAAACTTTTTAACTTCTAAAGCCATATTTTTAAATGTAACTACTATATGTTTCAAACAATAAAATATACCTATTTTATAGTCATGGATTTATGTACTTACAAGACCATAGTCTTCATCATCTTCGCACATGTATACGTCTTCGTTGTCTGACATGTTGATTTTTAAGCATAGACAACCACGATTTAAGATATATATTGTGTAGTCACAGTTAATGGATAATTATATCTCTTAACCGAAGTTAAGACATTTTTAAGATATCTATGCACAGATTACAAACGAGCGTCTCATTCATAGAATACTATGACAAATACTCTATAGTCTTATTGCGGCTTGGCAAATCACATAATATTGTTAACTAGCAATATTTGATAAGAAAGCCCAGTGGTTCCTAAACTACAAAAACATTCATTTATAGGCGTTTAATAGGCAATAAATAAACACAAATACATGAATCCAACTAAAGTTGTAGATATTAAAGGCGGCATAGTAGATAATAGTAACAGAGCAATAAAGACAGAACTGACGACTTTGCCGGCCGATGAAAAATAGAAGGAAATGCCGTTGACAAAATTTGATTTCACGTATAGATTATTATATTATTACGTATAGCTAAAGAAGTGTTTTTTTTTCAGACGGTTTAATAAAAAAAGACTGAACTTCTTCGCACAATGGGTTGGCCACTGTTGTAGGTGAGAAGGTAGGATACAGAAGGGAATTTAATATATCTGTAAGCAACAATAAACCATTGCTAACAAAATACCATTCTAAGCGGAATTCAGTTGATAGTGATGCTTAAATATAAAATAAAGAAATATAGTTTGGAGATTAATAGTTAAAAGAATGTATTGAAATCAAAATTTATTTTATTTTAACATAGCTCGATCTAAAGTATTACTTTTTCAACAATGATTGTTTAAAAGATTATTCAAATAATAATTACAAAAATAAAGAAAAACCATTGACTATCTTATTTTAGATTCTGTATGGCGCGAAGAATCTTATGGTTTTACAAAGATGTTTATTTTTGTTTATTTTCTATGGACAAATTTTCTACCAACAGTTTTGCTCCAATTTATAATAATAGCAATTTTTCTTAAAGGAAATTTCGCTAGTGAGATCTCTTTAGAGAGGTCGTTTTTCGATATTCTCAAGACTTCCCAGCAAATGTGAAAAACAAGGATAATCGGTATAACATTAAACAAATATTAGTAAAGAAATTATATAAAGCCCTTTTATAATTATTTTACTGTAATATGGCATGTATATTATTGACAAAGCATCACTATCAACTAAACTCCGCTTAGAATCATATTTTCGCAAGCAATAGTTTATCGTTGCTTACACTGGTATACATTAAAGTACCTATAACAATGGCTGCACCCGTCCCCATTATTCTACCACGTCTTTTTAATCTTTCAATCTTTTTTAACCTAAAAAACTAGGTTTTCCTTCAAATTTCAAATAAATATATTAATAAGAATTTCAAAAATAACCTCTCTAAAGTACCACTCCGAGAACATTTCCTTTTAGAAAAGATACTATACTTCATAATCAGAGTAAGCTTTCTGGTAGAAATGTTCACATATAAAAAAAAATAAAAACAACACCATTGTAATACCAATACATTCCTCGCTTGGGAAAGTTGGATACAAATTAAAGTGATTTAATTTATATTTCTAAATAACAATTAACCTACAGGAATACAGATATCCAAGAATTATTTGCAAAAAAAAGTATTTCATGGTGAATTTCATCATAAATATCTTGAATGGTATCATGAAATTTGAATGATCCTGTATAATGGCAAGGTATATTTTTTTTTATTTTCATTTTTAGCAATATTCAATAATATTACTGGTTTACCTGAGTATATTTATAAAATGTTGTGGATTATGAGTATGAATAAAAACACAAACACAAATTGTTTACTTACTAAAAACTAATGGAAAATCCCCACTGATCGTGTAATATGATACCAACTTATAATAATATATTACAATATAAACACAAGTGTGATCACATAAAATGCTGACTATGCAACAACATATATAATATCTATTTCATTCAAATTAAGATATAATTATATTAATTAAAATTCAAAATATTTGAAAATTTAAAATAATTCTGATGTAATACGCTGTATGTTTATAGCACATCTGTTGTATGTTATTGATAGACCATGGTTTTAAGTATAAGGTGAACTATGCGTACACACCAGCTGATTTGTCAAGTTACAATTGCAATGAAGTACTTCTCCAATAAGAAAGCTGCATGTTAGAGTTTTTGACTTAAGAAGATTTAGGGGACACTTTATTATAGTCTATTGGGTAACTGCGGACTAAAAAATAATACTTTAAAGTATTTAAAATTTTAATGAATAATTAAAAAAAATTACAAATTATCAATTATATACTATATTTAATAACAAGTAAAATATTTTGTTTTTATTTATGAAACTATAAACTATATAAATTTTAAATCAAATGAAAATATGTAACTGAACAATAATTAATAGACAATACACATATAACTATATAACAAAAATTAAAAAATACATTCATAACTTCAAAACTCCTTCAAAAGAATGTCATTGGACACATATTGAAACTAAGACCACCAGGACTATATTTAAATTTAATTTGTTTACCGTCATCACAAAATGTAATACTGATATCATTGACCTTAGGAGTTTCGAACTGTTTTTGAAAAATTGCAGAAATATAATCTAAAATAAATTCTTGAGGTTTACTTAATTTATCATATTTTGTTATCAATAGTTGTGGAGTTTTAATTTTGTCAAAAATATATTCATTACATACACATTTAAATGAACTTAATGAGACAATATGTTTTTTATTTTCCAATAAATTCAAAAAACATAAATCGGTGGGAAATCCTTGATGCATAATTATTATACATATATGGGTAAAACTTTCATTCATTGCAGCCTCTATTAAATTTGATTCAGATATGAATAAACGCTTCTGTATTTTCGAGTTAGGTATGATTGCATTCAAAATTAAAATGAAATTGTTTATAATTTTAGACAATGTTAAGCCAAACACCGATGTGGTTAATAATACTTTTGTATTGGAATTATGTGAGTTGTGTACGATTTGTTTGTTTATACCAACGTTTTTATTAAAACCATGCGCTTCAGAAGTTAAACCAAAATCAACTTCAATAAGACTCAAATTGTTCTCATTGTTCTCATTCAATTTATCAAAGTCTTTTAAGTTTCCAGTTTGTAGTTCATCAATTGATTTGTTAAGTGACTCAGTATATTGTTCATTATTTAATGAAATGTTCATTGTTTCATCCAAATTAATGATGCTAGCATCAGTCTGAAAAAACAAAAATGTATTAATAAATTATCATAATAGATTTATACAGTATTTACATTAAAACGGAAAATGCATTTGAATATTAATTTTCACAAACTCTAAATATATATTTCTTTTTAAATTAATTTTTAGTTAAAATTTGATGATGTTCAAATAAATAAGTTTTAACATTAATACATTTTATAATATTTTTTTCATTTTAAACTGTTATAATTTCCAGGTTTTTATTTTTCTTTATTAAATATAAATTGTATTATTTCTGAGTAACAAGTTTTTATTGTTTAATGTCTAGTATTATATATTTGTCATTTAATACTTGGTTTTATATAATTATTTATTTATGCATTAAAAAAAAAAATTAATAAATAATTAAAACTAAATATCTACCTTATTTTTTAAAGAGGCTGCAATATTTTTCCAATTTGAATCGATAACAAAATGTAATTTCACCAATTGGTTTTTTTTAACGTGTAATGAACAAAAAGGGCATTTGGATGAACTAAAAAGACATACAAAATATTAATATAATTAATTGTATAGTATATTGATAGTATTGATACAATAAAATCCAAATAAGAAATAAATAGTTGTATAATGATTGTCTGTTAATTTTAAAGAAATAGGTATTTACAATAAATGGTGTTAATGAACAAATGTCAATAAATTGAGGATAGATTATGCTCAATGTATGAGTAATTCAGACTTGAAATATCATAGCATAAAATTTTAAGTATCTCAATAGTTTGTATGATTAATGTTTAAAAAATAATTTAATGCAAATAGTAGGTACCTGTTTAAACACAGTAGAATACATTCTGAATGAAACAAATGGCCACATTGTGTAGTTAATACAGATTCTGGAAAATGACCAGTGAACATTACTTTACATACACAACAGCAAAACATTTTTCAGATCTAAATAAATAAATTGCATATCAATATAACTTTTTTTAGCAAATATATGTAGATATTACATAATTTAATATTTGGGTTTAGGGTTGAAACCCCTCAAAATTGAGAGATTTCTTTACAAATGTTATATAATATCAATGATAATTTAAACATTTATAATTAATGGTAATACGTATAAATACACAATTTCAAATATGTATCACAATTTTAGAAATATTCTTGTAACCTACATGACAATTTATGGTAACATTGAATCCTAAATATTTAGGATACACAATTTTCATTTATTTAGTAACTCATCAACCTAAACACCTATTTAGAAAATGTATACTCTTTTCCAAGCACCTCTTCCCCCGAAAATAAAACCGTGTTACGTCACTATTCTTAACTGTTCAATATTATTGTCTAACAATTATTGTTTAAAGAGTTTGATGATTCCAAGGGATATACCGTGTTATTATTGAAACCTAGATAGATAGACAAATTAGGAAATTTAATTTAATAGAACGCACCTATTAAATAGGTATAATATAATGAGAGGTATTGTATTATTATATTTTTTTAGGTTAAGCTACCACCAATAATTTTAAGCATAAATTTGATACCTACAACGAAAAATCTAGAATTTATAATTTAAAAATTAAATATTAAATTATCAATTTCAAACCTTCTCGTCCTCATAAATGGATGATAGGTACGATTTAACAAATAAAAAAAATTAATCAAATTTTAAATTATTCTTTATTAAATTAATTGATAATTATTATATAAGCACTATATTATACTATACCTAGATACTTACCAAATTGAAAAACGATTGTAAATGATTGTGAACAAGCAAACAAATTGACAATGCCTGATATATTAATATAAAAACTGTAATAATTTACTATAACAATATTTAAATGAATAAAAAAAAAATTATCTAAAATTAATAATTACATAACTTCTCAATTCACAGGGATTATCCAATAAAATTAAAAATGTGCTTTTTACGATTAGCACAACAGTTACAACCATTATTTGGAGCTAACCGCAGTACCTGCAGCTTGACATTGTCCATCACTTTTTCCTGAACTACAGATATGAAATATTAGGCCTAAATTAACTATACTTATATAGAAATTAGATTCCACATTTCCAAGTTTTACGAAAATCCATTTAGCTAAATATATACGTATATGTACCTAGTTGCATTACCACTTACCAGGTTTCTGTCATCTGCAGTAACTACCTACATGTTATTAAAATAAATATTATAAATATAATTTATGTATTAAAATAAAAACATCAAAATTTATTATAATAGTTATGAGAAGTATTTATTTATTGTAATATAAATCTGTAAAACATTAAATTTAAAAAAGATATTGTACATTTTCTAACAGGACCGCACTAGCTGGATAATAAGTAAGTATTCTATGTGTTCGAATGCATCCAGAACATAAAACATATTCTATCTATGTATCAAATGTCATCTGGATTCATTCAGTCATCATAAAAATTTACATTTATTAGGAATACGTAAATAGTTAATTTTAGATTCTGAACATGACTTAAGATATATCTCAAACCATGATTCTAAGAGAGCAAAGAATGTATATATCTACCTACCTATTAGTTTTATTAAGTAAGCGATTTGTTTTGTGTCTCGTGTCTGTAAACAATTTTTTTTCCAAAATTCTTCCTTCAAACAGTAAAGTCAAAACGTTTTTATTTGTAATGTGTCGGATCTAGTCGATGCATTTGAAAGTCATTTTTTGATTTTCTTTGTCGTTTTCTTAATAATTGGAAAATAACGTAGGAGAAATGGAAAAGTTTAAAAATTTAAATTTATTTCATTATATTTTTGTTGTAATTAAATTAAAAATAATCAGAGAAACCTAACATTTTCATAGAATACCTATTAATAATGAACTTTTATAAACATGGTCAAATTTTCAAAACATTTCTGCGATTTTTTAGTTATTTATTTAGGAATATGAAATTTTTCCGTTGTTTTTAGTTTTCATTAGGATTCTATATCATTAAATTATTATAAATAAAATAAAACAATATTTATACTTTTTAGATTTTGAGTGGAGCAAGGAATATATTGGTTACACAATGATGTTTTTTTTTTTGTGGAAAACTTTTTACCAGCAATTTTGTTCAGATTTTTAAGTACTTATAGCATTTTTTCTTGTAAAGAAATCTGACTATGATGGTACTTTAAGGAGGTTCATTTTTAATTTTCCCAGCTGTTTTCATAATAAATAGGAAAAACGGGTAAATTCACCTTTCATAACATATTATTAAACCATACTCCGCTCAGAATCGTTTTTCGTTAGCAAAGATTAAGTTACAGATATACATTAAATTTCTCTCTATATCCTGCCTTCCCAACTTCTCACCTATAACAATGGCCCACCCATCATGCGAAGTATGTTAATTATTATTATTGTTATTATTATAACTAAGTAATTTATACTTATAAACAAATTAATAAATGATTATATCGTTTTTTCAAGTCTCAATTTTTATTAACTACTAATATATTATTATAGTCCATACTCTATAGAACTTATAAATTTTAAATTTAATTAGATTATCCTAATTAGTAAATTTGGAATAAGATAATAATATGAATATTATGACTCATTTTTAGTTAATCAGCGTTAAAAAGTATATATTGTTATCGAAATTTGAAATTAAACGTGCCGCGATAAATTTGTGGAAAAGGAAAATGACCATATGATTTGTCAGCTGCAATTGATAATAGTTTATTCCATGATGGAATTCACGACTGTCACTGCTGTCGAAAGAACTGGTACACACGTAACCTCAAAATCTCACCGAAAACAAATAGTTCTTTTCTAGCGTTCATTGCCTGCCTCGTGTAAGGATCACGTAGTTTTTGTGGTAAGTAATTTAATATTCTCAGTTTAACAACGAATTATTATTTTTATTTAACAATTTGTATATATCGCTTACGTTCAAGTCAATTTATTGCGAATGAAATTTTTGAAAACTAAATTTTTAAAGGTACTGTTACTCGATGCTCGTATCGTTAACGTGCCACGAATGTTTCTCCTTTTTCTTTTTTAATTTCTAAATTTTCTTTGGCCGAATTAATGATACAGTACTAAATTGCTCTAGAAATCAATAAATATCAAAGTTTTGATATATTTTTCTTTGTTATCGGTTCTCAACACTCCATACGAACATTGTTAACATTGTCTTCTTTATGATTTCAGCAAAAAACGGCACAATGGGTAAAATTATGAAATCTGGTAAAATCGTGCTCGTGCTATCTGGTAGATATGCCGGCAGAAAAGCTGTTATAATGAAGACCTACGATGAAGGTACATCGGAAAGACAGTATGGCCATGCATTAGTGGCTGGTATAGATCGTTATCCTCGGAAAGTTACTAAACGCATGTCACAGGAAAAATTGAAAAAGCGATCCAAAATCAAACCTTTCCTGAAAGTAAGAATATATAATATTATGTTATACAAATTTATTTGTTATTTAGGTTATTTATTGATCAAAAGTTAAAACTAGTTAGGACAGCAACAAGTTTTGTTGTTGTCATTGAGAATAACACATTTTCAACTGTTAATATGTACCTGTGAAATAAGTTCAATTTTAATTTACTTTAAGCAATATTTATAGGTATGGTGATAGTTATTTCTTATAATCCGATAGGTTTTTGAGTACAATTTGTTTTTGCTTCTTGTGTACCTACATGGCATTAATATATTGTTTTACCATCAACTTATTAGATCTATCAAGTTTAAATGTATATTAATTTAATTAGGTAATATCTTTACAATTCCACTATAATTAAATTAAATTTAATGGAATTGGGTTTATATTTGGGCAACAATTTGTGTGTGTGTGTGTGTGTAATTTAAATTATCACTTAATATCTATTTTAAAATATATAATCCTTAATTATATACAAATAATATTTCCAAGAAGTACTTACTTAAAACATTAATTAAAATTTGTTTGATGTTTTGTTATGATGAGTGTACTTTTTGCTGTGCCTAGTAAAATTATTACCTGGTACCTAAAGGTACGGTTTCTAAGGCGTGACACTCGCCATCCAATTTTTAGTATGTAATTTCTGTTGACTGGTTTCCAAGTGCATCACCTTTTTCTCTCTGTTCAGATTGTGTTATGATTAATAAATCATCGTCCTTTCTTGCTCTTCCTCAAGATGAAGCCACATTATTTTATTGTTAATAATTGTATTTATACTCATAGTAAGTATAAAATTTAACTTGAAAACACTAGCCCTCACTGCACGAAAACTACAATGATACTAAATACAGATACAGTATTTGACCTTTTTTTTCTACGTCACCGAAAACTGGTCTCGGCGACCAGTCGCACCTAGAAAACCGTACCTTAAAATATATAAATAAGCATTTTATTGGTATATTTAATGGAAATCGCTATTAATATCTGATCAACTTTTAACAGTGGTTGGAAGTAATGTGTTGTTTGTAGCAACGCTCCTCTAGCCTGCTACCTTTTTTATAGCAATATTGGTACCATACAGCTTTATTTTGGTATATATCGCAATAACACGTCATATTTCAAAAAAAAATAGCACACAATTCGTTTTTCTAAGTGCTATGTTTACTAAAATAAAATTTTGAATTTAATTAAATATTATGTCATTTTTATTTTAATCTATAGTAAAATGTTTAACTACAGTTTCTTTTTCTCTTAACAAAAACATAAAATGTAAATAAATTGTTATCTTTAAAGATTAATATTTAGGGTACATTTTATAAGATAGACAATAAATATAAAGTTTCTTTTTATTGTTTCAAGAGAATAGTGAGCTAAATAAAATAAAAATCTAATTTTATAACACCCTGCAGGGTTATGATTGTAGGGAACTTTTTTTTTTTTTATGAAATGTAGCAATAAGCATTGGCAGAAATTGGAGGGAGGTTGTGGGAGTCTATAAATTGTATATATCATTTAAACAGAGATATTAGTCCCCTCCAATTAATTAGTAATTTGAGGAAGACTAATTTCTTTATTTTGAGCAAGCATAGACCCCCTTAAACCTTACCAGATTTTCCGCCATTGATGATAATGGTTAGTTTGAGATGCGCTTGAATTCTTAAAATGATGACTTTATAAAGACAAGCATATGGCTGACATATGTAATGGAGATAAATATTAACATCTGATTAGAATTTAGCATTGGCAAAAAAAAATGTTACACTTTTGATATCTAAAATTTAATTTGATACTTCACCAAACTAATTCAATTTGCCTAAAATGTCTAGATATATTTGACTTAATTTTTAATGATGACTTAATATAGACAAGCATATGACTGACATATGTAATGGAGATAATTTTTAATATCTGATTTAAATTATATAAAAATCATATAAAAAAAAAAACTTGATGTTTTGTTATCTAAAATTTAATTTGATACTTTACCAAACTAATTCAACTTGCCTAAAATGTCTCGATATATTTTACTTAATTCTTAATGATGACTTAATATAGACAAGCATATGACTGACATGTGTAATGGAGATAACTATTAATATCTGATTAGAGTTTAACAAAATATATGTTTATACTAAAAATGATAAAAAGTTGTATATTTTTAAAATGTAAGTTAATTATTTACCAAACTAATTTAACTCTGCTAAATATAAATTATGCATGTTGGACTAAATTCTTTATGATGACTATTTAGACAAGCATATAACTGACATAATATGTAATGGAGATATCTAGTAATATCTGATTAGAATATAACATTTAAGAAAAATAATTATAGGTAATAAAAATCATTTGAAGTTTATTAATTTAAAATATACTAAATGTGACCAATGTATCATAATTAAAATTATAAGTATGTTAACTTATTTTATTATTTATTACAAGCTGTTGGTCAAAGCTTCATCGGGTAGGATACAGTAGTATGTAAAATACAGAATGTAATTTTATATTTGTTAATTAAATTCTTAATGATGACTTTATAGACAAGCATATGACTGACACGTCTAGTGAAGATAACTACTGATATCTGATTAGAATTTATCATACATTATGTATTTTTTTTTTTGTATTAATAGATGTTATTAGCCACTAATTAAGTTATATATTTAACTAAATTCCTAATGATGACTTTATATAGACAAGCATATGACTGACATATGTAATGGAGATAACTATTAATATCTGATTAGAGTTTAACAAAATATATGTTTATACTAAAAATGGTAAAAAGTTATATATATTTTTAAAATGTAAGTTAATTATTTACCAAACTAATTTAACTCTGCTAAATATAAATTATGCATGTTGGACTAAATTCTTTATGATGACTATTTAGACAAGCATATGACTGACATATGCAATGGAGATAATATTGAAATCTGATTAGAATTTAATACTTCAAAAATGGACAACACATTTTGCACAATGTGAAACTAAAAATTACCTCCCTAAAGTACCAACTTGATAAAATTCAGAAAAGGTGCTACACTTAATACATTAAAACAAAATTTCTGGTAGAAAAGTTGCCCGCCTTCGTTCCGTGTCGAAGGATCGAAAGAAAAAAAAAATAGTAAAACCAAAATGTATAATATTAAACATTGTAAAACGTTTTATATTTATAATTTAATTAAACTATATTGTACCAAACAATTCAACTTATCTAAAATTCTATATGTGCATAATGTGACTATATCCTGGTGATCCATAATGGTGATCTTATACAAGCATATGGTCTGAAAATCTGTTTGAAATAATTATTTATTTCTGATTAGTATTTAATAGTGAATTTTGATGTGTATAATTTATTATAGAATATTTTTATACTAAAAGTAAATTTGAAATATTATAAAGTGGATTGGTTTTCTCTATCGTATTTTCCGATAAACAATATTTTCATTACACAAAATGTTTATTTACTGTTTTCTGTTATAGGTGCTCAATTATAATCACCTCATGCCAACTAGATATTCTGTACAAGATGTAACAGTAGACAAGGTTTCACCTAAAGATTTAAAAGATCCAATGATTAAAAAGAAATACCGTTTCCAAACCCGGGTTAAATTTGAAGAAAAGTAAGATTATTTTTATTTATTATTAAACCTAGTAAAAGATATTTTATATTAAATTTAAATCAAGTTATATATTCCAAACAACATATTTTTGTATGTTGTATAACTTTTATATTTTAAATATTTCATTTATATGATATACAGGGTAACTCATTTAATAAAAAAAAATACTCATTACTTCAAAATTCAAGTAGCTCTCTAAGATGTTACATTACCATTATTTTTTGGAGTGAAATGACTACCTACATTTTTTATCAAAAGGCAATCGTAAGAAAAAAAAAGTTACCTAAATAGATAGAACATTAATTTAAACTTTAAATAAATGTTATTGTTGAGAATTTTGATATCTGTCAACCCTCTAACGAGATAATTACTTAAATTTGGGTAGAGGAAGAAGTGGCGCTATTAAAACACTATGCTGCCACACAGCTAATGCTCAACTACTTTCTCCTTACCCAAACTTAAAAATTGAATATTTTGTCAACAGGTTGACAAAAATGAAAATACCCGGCATTTATTTAAACTAATAGTATTTATGAAACTTTTAATATTGGCAACCATTTGTAATTAAAAAGTAGGATGTTTCACTGCAAATATAATGGTAATGTAAAATTTTAGAGCTTTTGGTTCCTTGAAATGTCAAAAAAAATTGAAATATTGTAATATATAAATTACATATTATATATAAAAGACAGTGTGTTAGCGTATCAAAGTAGCGCTAATGTTTTGGCTATGAATTTAAATTTCATTTTTGGGAAGTGATGGGGTACTGAAATACATGTTAAATTTCAGTTTTTTCTGCAAAATATAAATTACTTTTTAATAGTAGCACTAATTTTTGACACTAGATTTGAAGTTTTAAAAAAAAAAAAAAAAATATAAGGAACTCATTTTTATCCTAAAAATAACTTGAGATATAGGATCTATCTAAAATTTGTTAAACATATATTTTTTCAAAAAAATTAACTTATTCCATTACCTATGTGTTATATATATTATTATGTGTGTTGTCTATTTTATATTGCCAAATAATTTTTTTCCCATAATAGTAGTCATTCCTTTACTTTTGAAATAATTAATTTTACATTTGTTGACAAATCATAATTTTTTAACCTCCTGAAAATAGAATTCAATTCCTAAGTCATCCAGCTAAATTATTTAGTGTTACTTGAAAACGTAATCACACTGTATATCTTGAGGCTAAATAATTTTCATAAATTTTAAATATATTCTCTTTAAATCACTATATCAATTGAACAATTTGGCTTTAATGTTACTCCATGGCACCTAGGAATCATTACAATAACTAATCAATATTATTTTTACTGAATACATGTTCTGGACATTTTGCTTTTTGCTTCAAATTGTAATATATTATATGCAATGTGTTACCAGCACAATAACCTTATTTAAATTGTTTAAAATAATATGCATTTATTCTCTGAATAAAATTCACATGTAAAATTTTGATCGAAATCCATTTAATTAGATTTTCTCTTGCACAAGATGAATATAAAATTAATTATAACTTCAACAATTAAACCGCTTAAAATGCAAATGTTGATTATATATATTCACATCTAATAAATATCACAACCATAATATTAACTCACCATTTAAAAATTGTAAATCCTATTGTACATACAAATTTATGAGTTTAACACTATTTAAATTTAACTAATTGTCAATATTTTTGTTTTTAGGTTCAAATCTGGTAAAAACAAATGGTTTTTCCAAAAGCTAAGGTTCTAGTTAACATTATGTAAGATTTATCTTTTTATTGGATAATTAAAAAAAAAAAAAAAAGAAAGAAAAAACCTTAATTTGTGTTTTTATTTAATTTACTAATATAACTAATATATTGATTGATAACAAATCTATTGATTATAATATAATAGATTTTCAAAAAAAAAAAACTGTTAACACAGACTTTAATTACTCTATATTGGGTTATCGATAGATTATCAAGCATTGGTAAATTATCAACAAGCATTTAACTAATTTTAGATTGTAGGCCTTGAGGTATAGTTAATTTAAATCAACTTTTTGACTTAAATTCTTAAAAAATAAATAATATATATATAAAAATTGAATAAATTCATACTAGCTCAACAAATTGTTTTATTGCATTTGTATAAATCGCCAACTTATCACATTCACAGTCAATAATAATAATATATGGCAAACCTCATATTCCATTTTGAATTAAAGATACTTATTAATGATTAATGGTACTTCAGCTTCAATACCTAGAATTAGAAATTCAATATTAAATTTAGTTAAATGCATTCAGTGATAAACATATTTAATCAATGTTACTACTTACTAAATATCTTGAAAAGAATACCTAAGAGTTGTGGCGTATTTGGGGTGTTGTAAGTTTTGCACTTGCTACATATAGAAATTTTAAGATGTTGCAAAAATATTCATATTTATAAGTATATAATTTATTATTATTAAAAAAAAATAATAATAACGTAACTATCTAATTTTCTATAAGATGATATATTGATGTACCAATGATTTTCCGCAAAAATCATTTATGATAACTGATGCGGTTATTTAGCTATAGATAATTATCTATATTCGTATCTATAACCATGTACTTAATCAAGTCTTTAAACAGAAATAAAGTACCTAATACTATAGGGGACTACAGTAAATATTTTACTCGTTATCTTTTATGATTATAGATGACTATAAGTATGAATATAAATAAAAAAGAAAAATTATCAATAAAAAGGTGAAAACTCAAAAATTGTATATTTTAATATAAAATTTTAATTTTGATAAGTTCATATTTTATTACCTATTATTATATACAAAAAAAAAAAACTGACATTTTGCATGGTGGGTAGCCCACTATTGTGGGTGTCAAGTTTGGAAGGTTGAGTGGAAATTTAATGTTTATCTGTACATAACTATTAATCATTGCTAATGAAAATCAATTTTGAGTGAAATTCGGTTATACATGTTTTGAAATTCCATAATATTTACGATTTGAAAGTACTATATTTAGTAAATTTTCTCAGTTTTTCCCATTTATTATGAAAACCATTGGGGAAAAAAAAAAAAATAACTTTCTAGTATCCACCTCATGAAAATTTATTTTCAGAAAGAGGTGCTACACTTAAATATCTGAGCAAAATATTTAATAGTAAAGTTGTTCCCTGAAAAAAATGAAAATTGTAAAATTAATACACTCCTCGATTCCTTGCACCACTCAGAATCTAAAAAAAAAAAAACAAAATACTAAATAATCCAGTTGCACAACTATGGGGTGAAAATTGGATTTGCCCTCTTACAAGATCCGAAGGAGTGAACATTTAAATATTCCCGATCACATAAATATTTTTTAATTCCCAAAATTTTAGCCCAGTTACACTGAGAGTATATAAACATGCTATGAAAGTCTATTGTGTGAAGTTTTCGGTTTCATACATAGTGAGGTCTTTATCTTGGTTATGGAGGAAAGCAATTTGCAGATTAGTTGCAAAAAAATGAGATAAAAAACAGTTTTTTCGCTTATTATTATTCAAATATATTTTTAATAAATAACTAACATGTTTATTTGTATGTAAAAAAAATTATTTTTTTAATAAAAATGTATTATTGATTGTTGCATTTTTATTGTGAGAACTGAAGACAAAATAAAATGTGGTATTCCATGTCAATACTCGTAAATAATTTGTTTTTAAATAGGGACAAATGATCTAAACAAATAAATGCTGATACTGGGGAAGAGTGCCACTGTTGTATGAAGAAAGTTAGGAAAATAATATGAATTAAATGTTTTGATTTAAATCCGCTAGCAATGATAAGTCATTGCTTACGAACCACCTTTTAAGAACTCTTGTGTTATTATGATAGGTTTATAATTTAAACTACCCAGCCATCATTTTTAATTGCGTCACAAAATAAAATGCATTAAAAATAATGTGTAGGCAATCTAATATTGTTAGATGTATTTGTTATTGCATATCGACAATAAAATACTTTCGAAAATATACATCCGTGTTAAACACATTTTGTCAATAAGTAGGCATTTAAAACACTTGTAAATAATATTATGTAAGAAGTAGTTTATATACTGTGTTCATGTTTAAAATCCCATTGGGACGTTTTTAACAAATTCTATACAATTTGAAGATGATTTGTACTTTACACCACAATCCTCCTCGTAAACAACTGGCAAAATGTCATATAAAAAAAAATCCCGTAGAAAAAAATAAGCAACACAATTGAATATTTTTTTTGATTAAATAACCACAACAATAATACATCCTGTGGTAATAATAAAATAATTTATTCTTTCACTAATGAAGAAGAGTTCGATTGGAGATAAAGGAGTGGTAGGAGTTGTTTTTTTAAGTTGAGTAAACTTTTTGTGTTTTTCCACAGCGAGCAATCTTTTGTATTGAGAAGTTCATATTTTTTTTCGGAGTGATCGGATTTGTGATTACGAATTAATTTTTATTATTATAAGATATTTGACAATCGATTTAATGTTTGTTTTGTCAGAAGAATATCGATATTTTTGGAATTGGGAGCGGGTTCGACGTTTTTGTGAGATTAGATCTGTTACGTGCGTAGGTAACACTTTTTTGTGTAAGTGTGACTGATTTGTTTGATTTATACTGTAAAAGGATTCATATACTGCAGGTTGTATAGAAGATATAAGATCATAGGCAGCATTTTCAATATCGTTGTTTGTTTTGAGAGAAAGTTGTAGGTTTTTGCTGTTTTGCATTATTTCATAAAATTGTTTCCAATTGACAAAACCTTGAGATAAAGAAAAGTGAGGAATATTTGGTTTAGAAGTGTCATTCGCAATTAGAAGAACAGGGATGTGGTCGGAGTTGAGTTCACATAAATTGCTTATGGAGTATTTTATAAGTGCAGGTAGTTTGGAGAGGAAAAAATCTAATATGTCTGGATGTCTATTTTCATAAAAAGGCCAACAAGTCGGGCTTTTGGGACTTATAAAGTTGATTGAGTTTTTGTTGATAATAGTATGAAGCATTTTGCCTCTCAGGTTTTCGGATATACTTGGGAGTATTTGGAATTAAAGCTCAAGCACCCCATGTCCCACCGCTAATAATAATAAAAAAATATAATTTTTAATATACTTTTGTTGTTCGTTATATAATTATAATGTATTATAATATTTGTTATGGGCCCCAAGGTTATGCCTTATTTATATTGATTATATTTAAATATAGGTACATAAACTACAAAAACAAATTAAAAATTAAAACAAAACAATAAGATGTTGATTTATAAATTACCTTGGTGACATGGATGATATTTGGTTGTCACAGATAAAAAACTATTGTTATTATTATTATTATTATTACTACTATTTACAATATTATCAAGAAATAGCAAAACATTGCCGAGTCAGCTATTTTTTTTTGTAGTAATCTTATAAACGAGTTGTTTACGGATGCATTTTAATCATTATTTATTTACACATTTTTATTATTATAACGAAATAGGTAGGTACCTTATTTCAAAAATATATTAAAATAATGACGTTTTCATTGAAGTAAATAATACTAATAGTATTATAATTATCATGACATGGGTAACTTATCTAAAGTATAGTAGAGTCAAGTAAGCTGCGAAGTACCTACCTAACTACCTAATACATACCTACATTACCACTTACCAGTAACCATAATCAAAAATAGTTAGTATACCTAACTCATTATAATTGCATTTACAAATTTTACTACGTCGTATTATGTTATTTATATATATACAGCTATACTACAAAGCGAATTTTTTTATCATGAATCATGATTAGGTAGGTACATATTATTTTTATGATCAATCTACAACCCTTCCCTACTTCTTCAGTCTAACAAATTCTTAATAATTGTTATAAGTAATAGCTGTCGTAAACTTAATCCAATATTAGTGTAAAATGTTTAGAAAACATTTTTTTTTTTTTTAATTTGTTGAAATAAAGGACGGGGTTGCCATTTGAACATCAAAAGTTAATACTCGTTTATTGTACCTGCAGTATAAGTAGAAATAGAAATTTGAAAATAGTGATAAATTATTTTAAGCCTAAACAATTCCATGATGGTAGAAGAAAAACCCGACTTGGCCATCTCAACTACAGTCATTTGACACAATCTGTGAAAAAATTCTGCTTATATTTAAAAAATATAGAAACGCCAGTCGGTTTATAGAATAAACCGAGTTTATGGTATATTAAAGTAAAAATGTATATTAATTTACTTATTACGTATGTCACAGCGGTGGTCACCCAGAAACATTGTCAATTTTGTGTAGTTTAATTGTTAAGACGTAAACCCAAGGACGCACGTGTAGATAATATTATTACAATTTATAATAGACATAATATTAATAATTTCACTATAGGTCAAATACGCTTCTTCGTCGTTTGCTATAAAATCGATATAGGTAGGTAATTATTATGTTAATTTAGTATTTCGGCATGACTTATAAACAAAATACCAACTTATTATTTACGCATGACGAAATTGTATAATAGGTAGGTAAATATATACGTAAACCGGGCGTCCGGGAATTTGACCACAATGAATTTTTTTTTTAAAAAAAAAAGGTACACGGCAATCCAACCACTAAAATTTTACATTTATAGTAGGTAAACCCGGTGATTGGGCCACTATTTTAAACGACATTTATTATTGTTGAACCCGGTAATTGGACCACTATATTTTAAATTTTAATACATTTTAGATTTGATAAAAGGAAATCCATTATTTTAAATCACATTATTATTTTTTTTCCACGATTAAAAATTTAAATTTCTTATGATCGTTGTAATCGATTTATGTTGACGGAAATTTTGAATACTATGCAAAGCAATCTGTATCATATTATTTAAACAAAAAAATTAATAATTATTTGACTAATTTTATATTGTATTTTATATTAGGTATATATTTTAATATATTTAAAATTATATATTTTTGTGTTAGACATTTGTGGCCCAATACCCGGGTAATAAAATGTACGAAAATATTATTTACGAAGCAGGTAGACAAAACGTGGCCCAATTCTCGACCGCCCACGTAAACCTACTACTTTTTTTAGAGGTGTTTAAAGAAAATATGTTTGGGATTGGCTGTAATAGATGGGGGATTTTAAAACGTTAAGTGTGGGGGAGAGGGTTGATGGTGGAATCAAGACGTACCTAGTAAAACAATGAAAACATCGTTTTATTTTAGTAACACAATAGTACGAATAAAATAAGTTAAATATAATGTTATGATTACAATTCCAATAAGTATAATAAGGTATTCAGAGTGTTCTATTTAAGTGGGTACACTGATTATCTCGGAAACAATTAAATTTTGGCACTGTATGAACTGGTAAGTGGTAGATGATTGTTTTCACGATAAGATTCACCGAAAAAACGTAACTAAAATTGAAACTCTTGACACTGGAGAGTTTAGGTAGTGGAGATTAGTGAAGCACTGATAGAATGCTACGCGCCACGGCCATGCCGTCGTAAAAATGATACTCCACTGCTCCCCTTACCTAAACTTAAAAGTGTAATATCTCGTTAACGGGTTGACGGAAATCAAAAATGTTTACATAAAGTTATTTAAAGTAATACTTCCATATTTATGGAACTTTTAATATAGGTTCTCATTTGAAAAACCAAAGTTGATATCGACACAGGATACTCCTTAAATGTTGTGAAAAATCTAAATATTCGAAAACATCAGTTTTAACTAGACTTAAAAATTCCAAAAAATAAGAATTTGAATGCATGTAAAGTTTAACCAAAAAACTAGAGGGCGAGCACGCTAAGTAAATCATCCTGTATATAATATATTATATTATGACTAAAAAAAAAAGACTGACACACTTCGTACGATGAGTTGTTGGCGAAAAGTTAAGAAGGTAGAATATAGATTATAGAGGGCAATTTAATTGTGAGCAACGATTAATCATTGCTAACGACAAAACTATTTTGAGCGGAGTTCGGTTGATAGTATTATTGCTTTGGCAACAATATATAATGTCATATTTTGGTAAAATTATTACAAATAATGCATTAAACGTTTTCTTTATTAATATTCGTTTAATATTGTGCCTATTTTCCCATTGTCTTGGTTTTCCTATGTTTTTTCTCGGTATTTCCCATTTATAGAGAAAATCAAAAAAATTACCTCCTAAAGGAACCTCCTCAGTCCGATTCCCTTTCAAATAAAGTGCTATTATTGAAAATCTGAGCAAAATGGCTGGTAAAAAAGTTGTCCACAGAAAAAAAAATAAACATCATTATAGTACCATAAGCTTCTTCGTTCCACTCAGAATTTAAAAAACAACATAATTGTAAAACTAATGCAGAATCTAAAATAAATTAATATCGTAAACCAATACATATAGTCCGAATACAACAATATACTCCGAATCTAAAAGCCTATAACATTTTTGACAAACTTTTCTCAATGCAAATCCGTCAATTATCAGTATTCTTATCGCGAACCATTTTAGATTCAATGTGTAAAACTCGC